CCCATCCCAGGCTCAAGTGATACAGGCATGCACCACCACACCTGGTTAATTTTTGTATTTTTGGTAGAGATAGTGTTTCTCCATGTTGCCCAGGCTGGTCTTGAACTCCTAAGCTCGAGCGATCCTCCTGCCTCAGCCTCCCAAAGTGCTGAAATCACAGGCATGAACCACTGTGCCTAGCCTATCTTCATAACTTTTATGTGTAGGTCCACAGAAAGTTTTGAGTGAAGAACCGCCATGATCTGACTTATGCAGATGCTTCTGGCATCACTCTGCTGTGGTGAGCCTGTGGCAGCCCTGAAGGCAGACTTAAGGACGCCTGTCAGGAGACCTTTCCATCCATCCAGACTTGGAGCAGCCGGGGCAGAGTATAGTTAGGAGTAGAGGCCACATTCTGGAAATGTTTCTCAGTGAGCTTTCCGGGGTAAGTCCTTCAACCCTCCTTGCTGAATAATATTCAACTTTATGAAGTTATTTCCTTTCTCCGAAGACTCCAGTGCTTGTGGCTTCCCATGAGGCCATGTGTAGGTACAGAATCGTCCTGAGCCTTGAGCGATGTTTGCTATGTATTCTAACGTTTCCCTATTTTAAAGGAAATAGCTGGTTTTAAGTTTTAATCCACAGATTGTCATTCTTCAGGGATGGCAGCCCCAAACACAGCATGACATCTCATCTACTCACTCATGAAAGATTAAAAAATGGAAATCAACATATTTCATGTCATGCTCTGCGTCACTTCTGCTCAACTCGTAAATCCACGTCTCTCTGCTTTGGCCACTTCAACTCGTATCCAATCCTTTCTTTAATTCATGATTTATTGCTGTAAGTTACTTCTTTGTGCCAGATTTATAAACTCACTGTTCTTTATATAATACCTACTTTGTACACTAGGCAACAAGACCGTTAATTTATTGTCTATGACTTGTTACCTTGAAAAATTACATCAATGCTAAGTGATTGCCTTTTAGCCTCCATAGCCAATGAATTTATTTTATTTTTTTGGAGAGGATGATGTAAGGTCAAGGATGATATATATAATCAGTGAGCAGAATGAGAAGGAGCAGGTTGAGAGTTCGCTCCACGAGAAGACAAGAAGGAAGAAGCCGTCTATTTTGTCTGTCTCGCAGCCATCATGTATAAGCTGGTCTCCTGCTGTTTGCTCTTCATAGGATTCTTAAATCCCCTCTTATCTCTTCCTCTCCTTGACTCCAGGGAAGTATCCCTTCAGCTCTCAGGTAAGATTTTTTTTCCCCTTTATGTTAGTCTTGAAAGAGCCTTCACCAGTCTTAAATTCAATGTTAGAGATAAGAATGGGATTCCTGCTCAAAGGGGTTTTGGGTCTTGTTCTATCAATACTTCCAGCTTTGAAAAGAATATTAGAGGATCCTCACTACACGTGTTTTTAGATGTAGAAATGGATACAATTTTTTTTTTTCTTCTCTCTCTCCCTCTCTACAATGTGAAAGGAGAAGAGGGAGACTATTTTGTTTCAGGTTGCCTCTGTAGTTCAGATTCTTGCTTTGGGTAACATAATTCTTTTTTCCAATTTTAAAAATTGCATGCAATTTAAAACGTCATTACTTTTGGTTTTTACTTTAAATAAACTGACTGTAGCACTGGTTGTTCTAATTACAGATTTATAATGGATTTATTTGTTTTACCTTATATTATGTTAAAAAATCATCTGATGTGCTCCATGAAACAAAAATGTTCATTAAATTTGTTTTTAATGACAAGCTAGGGAGCTGGGGAGCTCATAGATTTCCAAGTATGTTGATCGTTTCCTTTAAGTTAATTCAGTTTAAATCTAAGTTAAGTTAAAAAATATATCAGTCAAGTAGGACTCATCTTGCCATTATCTTTCCATTTGGTTTAAGAAATGAAAAGGCTAATGCTGGGGTATTAGGCTCCATCGAAATCTGAACTAGATTTAATCTTGTCTTACATCTTGAGTACTTCTAGACTTTTTTTTTAAATAAAGAAAAAAAAAAAGCTTCTCTAAGCCATGGAATTTCCAATTTCTAGCCTCTAAAAGTTCATCCCGAGCAGCTTTCTGATGATTACCGGGCACTGTCATACAGCACTGTCAATCAACTTCCCTAGTCACTGAGATGCTTCCTGGCGGTCCTCTAACGGTCAAACACAGGCATTCAATTACTGAATTGCTGCTGCTTACAAAGAAACAGTGCACATCTCAAGATGAAATAAGAAATGAAAATATTCAGATATTACTGTCATCTTCAAAAATCTACACATAATTTAAGAAACTTAGGTGAAATGAGTGTAGCATCTCACTCAGATTCTCACAAGTGGCAGCTTAGCTCAGAATTTCTTCTCATTTATTTCTCCAGAAATGAGCTTTCATGACATCAAGCACTTACAGATGATCAAGCTTTATGGATTTCATTAACATTCTTCAGAAGTGCTATGAACGTGCTCAGCTGCCTTTATGATGGGCCTTCACCATCCTCCACAAGGTTGCAGGGATTTGTAAGCCTGTGGAGTGGCGGTGCTGCACGTGGCCTCCCACCCCGACTCCCACAGCCTCGAATCGCAGCACGGTGGCAGGCTGCACTTACCACGCCGCACACACACGTTATTTAACACACCCCGGAGTGCCTGTTCCACACACCTTACGCACACTTACCACACATTCTATACGCCATCTGGTCGACCACTTTTCACAAAGGAAACGCCACAATCAAGTTCCTTACAGATTATTTGGAAGCTGATTCTAATAACTGTATTGAAATCTTGAGGTTCAGTAAGAAAGAGGTGATGCCATCCTACTGTCTTTATAGGAAGAACATAAACAATCCTTATTTTTCCTCTCACTCCAATTTCCCCACGCTAATATCTAAAAGTGGAAGGGCAGTAAGCAGCAGTAGATAAGCAGAAATGAGGGACAGTCCGGCTTCTTGAACCAAAACGGTTTTGAGAGAGCCTGTGGCTCAGCCCTAAGCTCGTGTTCGAGGCTTCACACAGGCGTCCGATCCACGCCTCCCGGCTTCCCGTTCTGCCGGCTGGCACGCGGGGGGCAGCATTTCCACTTCTCTTTTAGAATATGCTGATGACACATCATGAACTTACTGCCGGAAGTTTTTCTGGTGTTCATCTCCCTATCTCTGGTACTCTCCAAAGATACAAGGAACAGAAATAACTAATTGAAGGATGAACCAAATTGCGAGTGTCTGTTTTTACTCTGTAGCACCTGATGAAGATGTGCCGTTAACTCTGGAGGATCTAGAAAGAGCTTCCCTTCTGCAGATATTGCCAGAGGTGCTGGGTGCAGAAAGAGGGGATGTTCTCAGGAATGCAGGTAAAAATCTTCTCGTGTTTATGGCATGTCTGATTTAATTGCTACTGAACTTACCATCTGTCTTTGTCTAGAAGAGGCAAAGCCCTGTTTTGTAATGTAAAGATGAGCTATATAGCCAGAGGTGGTGGCTCACGCCTGTAATCCCTGCACTTTGGAAGGCCGAGGCAGGCGAATGACAAGGTCAGGAGTTCAAGACCAGCCCAGCTAACATGGTGAAACCCCGTTTCTACTAAAAATACAAAACATTAGCTGGGCGTGGTGGTGTGCACCTGTAACCCCAGCTACTTGGGAGGTCAAGGCAGGAGACTCACTTGAACCCGGGAGGCAGAGGTTGCATTGAGCCGAGATCACGCCACTGCACTCCAGCCTGGGTGACAGAGTGAGACACCATCTCAAAAAACACAAAAAACAAAAAACAAAAAAAACAGCTATATAAAATAAGTAGTTGCCAACACTCTCCCCTCCGGCCTCTGCAACCAGCTTTTCTGTGGCAGCTCCTCACACACGCCATGCCCTTTGGCATCTCAGCATTTTGTCTTTCTGTGTGGACTTTTACTTTTTGGAGGGTAGGAGTTGGTGGTAATTATTCCAGTTTCCAGTGAGTGCAATTTAAAATCCTGGTTTCCCACTTACTGAAACCTTAAACAAGTAATCTTTCTGTGCTCCAGTTTTTTAATCTGTAATCAGAAACGATGTTTCCACCTCAGAAGGTAACTTGTGAAGTGTCAATGAGTCAAGACAAGTAAAATGTTCCAGTCACACAGAAAATAATCAATAGTCAGCTTGTCCCCCATGGCCACATTCCTCCAAGCATTGACACGAGCGCTCAGGAAGTTCTGGAAACAAAATTGAGCCTTTTGCTGAGCACAGTGGCTCACACCTATAATCTCAGCACTTTGGGAGGCTGAGGTTGGCAGACCACTTGAGGTCAGGAGTTTAGGACCAGCCTGGCCAACATGGTGAAACCTCGTCTTTACTGAAAATACAAAAATTAGCCATGCGTGGTGGCAGGTGCCTGTAATCCCAGCTACTAGGGAGGCTGGGGCAGAAGAATTGCTTGAATCCTGGAGACGGAGGTTGCAGTGAGCCAAGATCTCACCATTGCACTCCAGCCTGGGTGACAGAGCGGGACTGTTTCAGAGAAAAAAAAAAAAAAAAAAAAAAGCCTTTTAATAGGCATTGTTTAATAGACAGTTCATTTGTTATAAAATATCTTTGACGAACTACTGTACTGCTAAGTTACTGAGGAAAATGCAGTGACTTTTGTAAACTCAAGGTAAGAACAGGAGTGCCTGTCTGCATTCAAGAAAGTTTTGCTGCAGTGTGCAAAAAGACTAGAAACTAGTCATAATTTAGTAACATTATACATGTACATGTGTATATATTAAAACAAACATACAGGAGAAACAACGGATCTGATGAATTGGTTTCAAAACTGTTTTTCAGACTCGAGAACCAACATTTTTAACCCAAGAGGAAATTTGGGAAAGGTAAGTGACTCTATTTATGAGTGAGGTTTAAAAGGTGAACGTTCTGTGCTAATTTTACAGGACTCTGAATTCATGAATGAGGAGCGTTCTTGGTGGAAACCACACCTTAAAATAATTGGCCAGCAATATTTCAAAGCATTAATTTTTCCAAATTTTGATTGATATGCGATCTGAATGCAACAAGAACTTACCAGTGCCTGTTTTGGGTAGATCACACTGGTTGTGAAAGAATGAAAAAAACAGGCGAGGTCCCTGCTGTCCAGCCTGGCATTCACTTGTGCTCTCATCTGCCATCTAACCTACGGCCCCACCAGCAGCACCGGGAGCACCTGGAAGCCAGTGAGGAATGCAGAATTTCAGGGCCACCTAGCGCCCGCAGAAGCAAAGTCTGCATCTTAACAAGATCCCCAGCTGATTCCCATGCACGTGAAAGCATGGAAAGCACTGCAATAACATCTCATGGAAGAAGGCCATGCCCCAGACATGGACGTGAACCGTGTGCAGGAGGCTGGGCGCAGTGGCTCAGGCATGTCATCCCAGCACTTTGGGAGGCTGAGGCAGGCAGATCACTTGAGGCTGGGAGTTCGAGACCAGTCTGGGCAACATAGCGAAACCCTGTCTCTAGAAAAAATACAAAACTTAGCTGGGCATGATGGCATGCCAGCTACTCAGGAGGCTGAGGCAGGAGAATCACTTGAACCCGGGAGGTGGAGGTTGCAGTGAGCTGAGATGGCACCACTGCACTCCGACACAGGCAACAGAGTGAGACTCCATCTCAAAAGAATACAACACAACACAACACAAACAATACAATATTTTATACAGAAGATAATAAATGCACAGAACATGTTACTGACTTTTTATTTATTTTTGAGACAGGGTCTCGCTCTGTCACCCAGGCTGGAGTGCAGTGGCGTGATCTTGGCTCACTGCAACATCCACCTCCTAGGTTCAAGCAATTCGCATGCTTCAGCCTCCTGAGTAGCTGGGACTACAGGAGCCCACCACCACACCCAGCCAATTTTTGTAGAGATGGGGTTTTACCAAGTTGCCCAGCTGGTCTCGAACTCCTGAGCTCAAGTGACCTGCCCGCCTCGGCCTCCTAAAGTGCTAGAATTACAGATGTGAGCGACCCGCCCAGCCACTGACATGATTTAAACAGAAATCGGTCAATGAGGGTTTAGGAAAATTCATGACCATCACTGGTCTGAACAGATTGGAGGCACACTCGTTAGAGGCGGGGAGGTGGGCACAGGAGAGTGTCCCACTGGGCCAGGGACACTCGTTACAATTACAGTCCAGGGAAAAATGCAAATACTTTTAAGAAGTCCACTGTCTTGACTAAAGATTCTTTTTTTTTGTGCAGAACTCTTCATTTGTTGGTAACTTATTATTATTTTTTGATTGTTTTAGTTTCAGGCTTTCTCTGGACAAGATCCTAACGCTTTACTGAGTCACCTTTTGGCCAGAACCAGGAAACCATACAAGAAACGTGAGACTTCTAATTGCTTCTGGAAATACTGCGTCTGAAGTGAAATGAGCATCTATTAGTCAGCTCAGAAACACCCACCTTAGAACACGAAAAATAAAACAATGCTTGATTTGAAAACAATGTGGAGAAAAACCAGGCAAACTATCCCCTGTTCATTTTCACCTGGAAAATAAATCCTCTATGTTTTGCACATACCATGAGTGGTTATTTTCCCTATAAACGTGTCCTGAAAATTTAAAATTATTCCTTTCTTCCATTTATCCTAGAAAATTCTTTGAAAATTCAGAAGTGAAGCTAATAAATGAACAGAAGCAAACACTAAGAAAAAGTCATGAAAGTTAAACTTGTTAAATGACAAATCATTTAAGTAAACGACATTATCTTAGCCATGATGTCCTTCCAACTCTTAAAAAAGAGAACATACTACTTAAAAAATAAAGCACAGCCAGGCACAGTAGCTCACGCCTGTAATCCTAGCCCTTTGGGAGGCCGAGGTGGGTGGATCACGTGAGCTCAGGGGTTTGACACCATCCTGGGCAACATGATGAAACCCTGTCTCTACCAAAAAGACAAAAATTAGCTGGGCATGGTGGCGGGCGCCTGTAGTCCCAACTGTTCAGGAGGCTGAGGTTTGAGAATCTCTTGAACCTGTCGGGCAGAGGCTGCAGTGAGCCGATACCGCAGCACTGCACTCCAGCCTGGGCAACAGAGGAAGATTGTCTCAAATATAAAAAATAAAGTTATACAAAATAAAAAAAAAATAAAAACAAACCAGTATGTTAGCTTGGAAAAATCTCTGAAGTTAAGGATGTCTGAGATGAAGGGCAGATGCGTCTGATGCTTCCTGGTTTCTGAAGTTGGTGGGGGATGTTCATGTGCTGAGATTCTATCTTTTAGCTGACCAAAGTCCTGAACACTTGAAAACTTTAATCTTTTAACATTGAGACTTGTATGATCTCAGTTTCTGTGAGCTCAAGGATCACAGTTTCTTACACTAGGGAAAAACACCTTGAGGTTTCTAATAGAGAGAAGAAAGCTGAGGCAAGATTTACAATTGTGGAAGCAATAGCCTGGCTTATGAATTTTTACAAATCATGTGTATAAGTACTGACAGATTGCATGAATACATCTGTATCATGTGGTTTACATACGTATAGAACATACAGTGATACAGTGTGAACTCCTGAGAGTTGTGTGGTTCTCGCACAAAACCATGTACACGGGAGGCCTGTGTGGGTAACACACCCATGGGCACCCAGGAAGGAGAACTATGCAGACCCCAGGCACAATTAGTATCTGAAGTATAACTCGCTGCTTACTTACATCTAGCTTATATATATAATCATATTTAGTCCCATATAATCTGCCAGATCTGTAGGGCTGTTGGCCCCATGGGGTCGTGGGGTGTCCCTTATGCTGTGCTGAGATGCAGGATCTGAGAAGTGGTGACAGGACACTGAAGAACTGGAGAAGAGCAGCTGGACTTGGGGGCCATGCCACCAATGAGCAAAGACAGGCAAGGCCCCAAACGTCTAGAAGCGTCTGTATTTATTAGGCACAAGGCAGGGGGAAGGGTCGTGAGTGAGGTCATCATCTATAGGCTTAGTGATAAGGCATACATAATCACGTAACAAACGGGGCCACCCCATATGTCACCTGGACGGACGGGGGGTAGGGGGGCTGTGCGCAGTAAGGGGCCATGCCATGTGCAGTAATAGAGGGTCGTGTACAGAAAAGGGGTCCACCCTCATTAGGTCACTGAGGGAAGGAGGTGGGCTGTGTACAACAGGTGTCGTGCACAACACTTCTTATCTGGGACCTGGAGATTTCAAAGGATTTCTAATAGAAGGATACTGTAAGCCAATGCAGTGGGAGCTGACAGACTTGTGCTCTTATTTATGGGAGGCTGACTTGAGCTAGCACAGAAGCAAGAAAAGACTGACAGGGTGTACAGCTGCCGTGACTGGTCACTCCAGAGGGGTTCTTCTTCCTCGGTTATTTGTGGGATCTCAGGCCTGAGGCCTATTTTCCACGGGAACTGGATGCAAGGTACTACAACTCCTTGCTCCAAGCCTGCTGTACAGCGTATACCCTTTCAGGCAGGGACGCCACCGCCTGGGTCTTTGGTTCTTGTCCTGGTCTGGCTATTTTCCCATGTACTGCTTCTGTTCTGTGACTGCTCTGGGCATTCCTCCTACTACAAACTACTATATGGTTATATAGGAGTCTATAAATCAGCACTAAATGTGTCAGTACAGTTCTGACTACATCCGTTATATGATTACATGGAACTAAGTATGATTATATATATAAGCTAGAGTAAGCAGTAAGTTATATGAATATATAGAAAGATTATATGGGACTAAGTATGATTTTATATATATAAGCTAGATATAAGTAAGCAGTGAGTTATACTTCAGGCACTAATTAATTGTGCCTGGGGTCTGCACAGTTCCCTTTCCTCGGTGCCCACAGGCGTGTTACCCACAGGCCTGGATTTTTATGAGAAACTAGTTTCCCTTGTTGAGCTCTGGCACCCCACCACATCCAGGAGGAAGGGTAGGCACCAACCAAACAGCAACACGCAACTTGTGTCAATCTTGTCACCAAACGTCACACGTCTCCTAGAGTACAGGTCTCATAGAGTTTACCTTGTCGAAGACATCAAGAACAAATCTAAGGGAGAGATGTTTTAAACTTGAAGAATGAATGCACAAGCTCAGAACATGCTGACATTGAGGAGAGCTATGATAATATTGTGGTATGCCTCTCATTGTTGAAATTAAACCAATCCTAGTTCTCTGGAACAGAATGTTGGCATCACAAAACTGTTCTGTATCAGAGAGAACTTAAAAGTGAAATTCCATGGTAGAGTAATTCCGAAATCCCTACTCATGTTAGTGATGTCAGGTGAAGATGCAGAGAGACCGGGGGCTCTCCCGTCAGGTTTCCGGGTGGATTCCTACTCCCACTGCACACCAGCTGTGTCTTTGACCTAGTTATTTGACTCCCTCTGCCTCAGTTTCTCTGTGAAACGAGGACAATAACCATGCTTATTTCACAGGCAGTTGTGAGGATTAAATAATTCACGTCAAGCACTTAGACTAGCGCCTGTCAGAGTAGTATACATGCAAAGTATACTTCGCTATTTTTCTTCCTGCTCTTGTTACAGTTTTTGTTACCGAAAAGAAAGGTGCAAATGGTCTGAAAGGCGTCAACTTTAAAAAGCTCTGTTGGCTTCAGGATCTTGTTCTGTATTTTAATTTCTAGGTTTTGTTGCCACCAGTTACACAGTCAGATCTTGTACACAGGTTCACCCTACAAAATCTATTAAGAGAAATTTTGATAACCGAATTTTATAAATTGGACATTACAGTAAGTATTAGAAATATGTACATATATTCAGGACCCAACAAATTCTTCAGAGTGCTGAAATGGGGACTAACCCATTTATGCTGGAGATTGGATTTGTGTGTGTGTGTGTGTGAAAAATCAGACCTTGGCGACGACTTTGAGCAGTAGGATATAAATAATTCCCACAAGCTGAGCATTCCAATAATGGAACATGAGGTGCAAATGGGTTAAATAAGCCAATAAATTCCCAAGTGCCTGCCTCTTCATCCTCCATTCAGTAGGCGCTCACACTGGCCAATGAGAACACAGAATGTGGCTGAGAAAGCAAGGTTAACCAATGTGAGGGCCCTGACAGACCACAAGAAACAGTTCTAAATGACACAGAACACACACTCAAAGATCTGTCAACACAGGGCAGGACAATTTCTCACGTTTTACATGTACACAAGTTTATCGTTTTTACTTAAAAAGACATCCAATTCAAATATTGCTAATGATTAAAAACAAATTCAGAGTTAATTATACATTCAGTTGAAACAAAATTTCAATTTGGATTAAATATACACTGTGAATTATAATGAAGTTTCACTCAATTGCAAAACGATTCCATTCATACAGCATCTTGTTTTTCATAAATCTTGACCTCTGACCAAAGAAAATACAGCTTCTGGATAACATTTATGTAAACACTGAAGCCTATAATATACATTTTTACTTCCATTTTCTATAGTCATTAATATAAAAAGTTAATAAATTTGAACAACAAAGTTTAAACTGGCGAGAGCCCCCTTGGGGGTTGGTGGTCCAGCTGCTGAGCCCCCTGCTCACTGCCAGCAGCAGGTGCAACCCGAGTGCATGGACACCTCCACCCACAACAGGAGCGCTCCTCATGCTCTGACAGTTCTGTGACAAGCACCAGTTTCCAATGAAACCTCGTATAACATGTACTCCAGAAAATGTGTACTAAGGCAAAGAAATGAGCACATTTGGATAATACAGATATCCAGAAATGATGGAAAGAAAGGCTTCCGTTAGAGAACATAAGCCTTAAAGTAGGCGTATATGAATGCACAATGGTCCTGATAGCTACAGGTGTTCTTATTTACAGAAGCAAAAAAACTGTATTACTACAGAAGATCACTGACAGACAATCTACCGGCTGGTTGTTTCAAATTTGATTTTTTCATCAAGCCAAAATACAACCTGATCAACACATACACAAAGGCTTCAGAAATAATTTAAGTCTCAAGATGGAGCAGAATATAAGAGCTATGTATAAAACGGGAATATCTGCATGGAACTGTTTAATATCAGAAAATTCAAGGACTGCCAGAGGCAGCATTTGAAAATAGTTCTGACACCTTAAGATGGAATTATCATCCAGAAAACCACTACTTCGAAAGAAAATCTGAGCTACGGGGATGGTCTTCGTGGATAAAAAGGTTGATTTTCCTAATCATTATCAGGATGCATTTACAAAAAGCTGTAACACTTCAAAGGAGAAAGAAGCATTTCCATAAAACAACCACAAAAAACAAAAACAACAAAAAAAGGGAAGACAAAAATAAGTTAGTTTGTTGCAAGTTATATAAAGACAAAAGGTTACTGTAACCTTCATTTTGTATTTTTTTTTCCTGACTTCCAGGGGTGTGAATTTCATGTATCATTCCAAGTTTGAGAAAGAATCAGGGACTTCTCTAAGCACCAGAGAGTGAGCTGATTTATCAATTAAACAATCGCACTCACTTCTTAAAAGACACAACTACAACTGCCACAGAAAGCACTGACTGCAGGAACCGCAGGGCCTTGTGGGAAGGACAACTGCGCTCCCTGGATGTTTTCTCCTGCGCAATCCCCATGACACTTACCCCTGTTCAAGGGCAAACAAAGGCAGAGCCAATCAGACCTCTGGTAGGGCTGGAGTGACCTCTTTTGTATAAATTGATTGGAAAGAAAGAATTAACTGTTAGTTTTGGTAAGAATGAAAATTTAAATACAGAAGTATACAAGAATGATACTAGCTTTTACATTACTTGTGAAACTTTTTACAATTAAACAAAAACATTCAAAAGGGCAACACCATTGGTTGAATAAGCAGCTCTTTCATTTTAACATTACACATGTAAATGCTAACTTAAACTCTCAAAAGAATAAGCCCATGGTAAGCTGATCAATGTTCAGAATTTCACTGGAAGGCGGGAAATCAGTAGGAAAGGCATCTGCAAGGATGAAGGTCAAAACTCAACCCTCAAAACCTGGTTATCCCAGATATGCTAATGGACAATATGTGCTAATGTGCTGTGAGAAAACCGGAATGTTTCATCTTAAGCAGGGGATCACCAGGTTGAACAAAGCCTACATGAATGTACTACATTTACGCAAACCATTATGAAAAGTATACAACCCGTAGATGGGAGTTCTTCAAGCACTCTAAGGTGAAACTGACTATGTAACAGAACAAAATAAACCAGGCTAAGGTCTGGGGCTCATTCTAGCTACACTTCTAATTATAATGTACTCTGGGTGACATCTGAACCAGAGATCCACAGACCTCTTTAGAGGCCATCCAATCTCTTTAGAAGACAACTCAACTAGAGAAAGAGCCTCACTGGCCATTTAAATGTATCAGGAACAAAGAGAAGTAAGACTCTGTATACAATGTCTGCTTCAAAAAGATTATGTGTATTAAAAAAATCAAGAAGAAAAAGTCTTAACATTCACTAATAACTTCGTGGTCAAATATTTAAAAGTCCAGGACTTAAAAAGGTCAGTTTGTGTAACATGTCTTGGAAAGGGTACGAAGGTTCATCCTCACAGTCGCTCAACTGCTGTCTTCTGCCTGACCACTGGATGTGGCCCCATCATCAGCTGAATCTGCACTTTCGCAAGTGACACAGGCCTCCAAAAAAGAACAAAAGCAGGTGCGTTAGCTGATGTCAATGTCACCTGAAGAGTTTTAAAACAGTAAAAGGCTGTTCAAGCAACACGTTTCTAACTCCCCAACTTACTCATGTCTGAAAATATTCATTAGAGCTCATTCTTTATTATTAAAAGGCAAATGACAAATTGTTTAAATGCAGTCATGTGCCACATGGTGTTTCAGTCAACAACAGACTACATATATGATGGTGGTCTTTCAAGATTATCCTACCATATTTTTATGGTGCCTTTTCTATGTTTAGATACGCAAGTACCACTGTGTTACAACTGACTACAGTATTCAGGCTAGTAACAGCTGTATACGTTTGTAGCCTAGAATCAAACGGCTACCCCATAGAGCCTAGGAGTGTGTGTAGCAAGCTACCCCACCTCGGTTTGTGTGAGCACACTCTAGGATGCTTGCACAAAACATCCCCATCACTAAGTGGTGCATGGACTGCGCTTTTGTTTAAATTGCTGTGGGGCTCATCCTTCATATGCGTGTCTCTTTAAAACCAGAAGAAGAACACTGAAAAAAAACAAAGACACTTAACAGTAACCAGCTCAGCTCCTGCTTTTTGGTGAGACCCTATCCAGTCATTCTTACATGACAGACACTCATTCTTTTCTTCGAAAATGGAGATGGGAAGATGATTCTGAGAAGATGGCAGAGTAGGAGGACTAGGACTCTATCTCCTCACCTAGACAACAACTGCACTGACAAAATCAGTCCGAGGTAACTATTTGGAACTCGAGTGTATTTGAAGGCCTGCAACTTTCCGGGGAATGCTTAGAGGGTAAGCTGTGGTTGCCTGTGGTCAATTTCAGCTTGAAGCACAGTAGCAACTACCCATCCCTGACCCTGGGCAAGGCACGTATTCCTGGAGCAGCCTGCACACGGCTTGTGGGAGTCAGGATGGGAAATAAGAACCCTGTCTTCCAACAATCAAAAAATGAAAATAATAATCAATACACCCTGGGATAGGAGAGAATCTAGTTTCCAGAATTACGACTTTTATTAGATTCAAATGTCTATTTTCAACCAAAAAAAAAAAATCATTAAGGCATACAAAGAAACTGCAAAGTACAGCCCCAGCGTGTCCAACCTGCTGTCCATGAGCCACAGGAGGCACACAATGGGTTTGAATCTAGCCCAACACAAGTTTGTAAACTTTCTTAAAACATGAGGTTTTTTTGGTGACTTATTATTATTTTTTTGCTCATCAGCTATTGTTAGTATTAGTATATTTTATGTGTGGCCCAAGACAATTCTTATTCTTACAATGTGGCTCAGGGAAGCCAAAAGATTGGACACTCCTGGTATAGGCCATTCAAAGGAAAAAAATAAACCATTAGCAAAAGTCTCTGAGAAAGACCAGATAAAAGAATTGCTGGACAAATATTTTAAAACAACTGAAAGATGATCAAAGAACTTGCGGGGCACAGTGGCTCAAGCCTGTAATCCCAGCACTTTTGAAGGCCCAGGCAGGTGGATGGCTTGAGCCAGGGCAACATAGTGAGACCCCCATCTCTAAAAAAATAAAATAAAATAAAGTTGGCCAGGCACTGTGGCGCACATTTGTAGTCCCAGCTACTTGGGAGGATCACCTGAAACTAGGAGGTGGAGGCTGCAGTGAGCTGTGATCATGCCACTGCACTCCAGCCTGGGTGACAAAGTGAGACTGTCTTAAAAAAAAAAAAAAAAAGAAAAAGAAAAAAACAAACAAAAAAAGCTGGGTGCAGTGGCCCATGCCTATAATCCCACCACTTCAGGAGGCCAAGGCAGGTGGATTGCTTGAGCTCAAGAGTTGAAGACCAGCCTGGGCAACATGGCAAAACCCATCTCTACAAAAACTAAAAAATTAGCTGGGCATGGTAGTGTGTGCCAGCTACTCGGGAAGCTGATGTGGCAGGGCTGCCTGAGCTCAGAAGGTTGAGGCTGCAGTGAGCCAGGATCATGCCACTGCATTCCAGCCTAGGTGCCAGAGTGAGGCCTTGTCTTAAAAAGAAAAGAAAAATATGATGAAAGAATTAAAGAAAGGCATGGAGAAAAATCAAGAAAACAATGTACAAACAAATGGAAATATCAATAGATAGAAAACCTAAAAAGAAGCCAGAAAGAAATTCTGTAAATAAAAAGTACAAAACTGAAATAAAAAATTCACTAGAGGGATTCAAAAGCAGATGTGAGCAGGCAGAAGGAGAATCTGTATATGAAGACAGGACAACTGAAATTGTCAAGTCTGAGAAACAAAAGGAAAAAACACGGAAGAAAAGTCAACAAAGCCTGGAGGACATGTGGGATACCATCAAGTGGACCAACGTAAGCACTATGGAGGTCCCAGAGGAAGAAAAAGAGAAAGAGGCAGAAAGATCATTAAAAAAAAAAAAAGGCCGAAAACTCCCCAGATTTGATGAAAGACATGAATATAAACATCCAAGAGGCTAAATGAACTCCAACTAGGATGTACTCAGAACTCAGAGATCCACACTGAGACACACTGTAATTAAATAGCGTGAAGTCAAAAACAAAGAGAATCTTAAAAGCAGCAAGGGTAAAGCAACTCATCACATGCAGAAGACTCTTGATAAAGTTATCAGCAGATATCTCATCAGAAACTGTGGAGGCCAGAAGGCAGTGGCCCGTTGTATTCAAAGCGCTTAAAGAAAAAAACTGTCAACTAAGAAATCCTTTGGCCACACTGTTCTTCAAAAGTAAGGGAGAAGTGAAGACATTCCCAGATAAACAAAAGCGAGTGGAGTTTGATACCACTAGACCTATCATCCAAGAAATGCTAACAGGAGGCCTTCAGGGTTGAAATGAAAGGACACTGACAGTAACCTGAAGCTGTATGAAAAGATAAAGATTCCAGCGAAGGTAAATATTATTATTGCAACAACGATGTATAATTCCACTTTTGTTTTTAAGAAACTAACACACTCAAAGAAAACTAGTCTATAAAAGACAGTATTATTTTAACTTTGATTTGTAATCCCATATTTTGATTTCTATATAATTTAATAGATTAATGCATAAAAATGATTATGTTTTTGGGAGCACAATGCACAAATACCTAATTTTATACCTTCAGTAACTGAAAGAAGATGGAGATGGAACGCTATAGAAGCAGAGTTTCTGTAGGTTATCAAAGTTAAGCTGCTATAAATTCAAACTGGAGTGATAAATGTTAGAATGCTGAATGTAATCCCCATGGCTATCACAAAGAAAACAGCTACACAATATACACAACAGGAAAAGAGCAGGGCATTACATTTCACTTCAAGAAACCAACTAAACACAAAAGATGACAGTAATGCAGGAAATGAGGGAAAAAAACATTTAAGGCACATGGAAAACAAATAGCAAAGTGACACAAGTAAATCCCTCTTTACCAGTAATTACTTTAAATGTAAATGGGCTAAATTCTCCAATCAAAAGAGACTGACTGAACAGATTTTTAAAAGCACCATTCAGATATATGCTATTTACTCACTTTAGACGTAGACACAAATAGGTTGAAAGTGAAAGGATGTAAAATGATATTACATGCAAATGGTAACCAAGAGAGAGTCACAACAAGACAAATAATGTATGATTCCACTCATAAGGTGTATAGAATAATCAAGTTCATATGTCTCTTGCCTGTAATCCCAGCACTTTGGGAGGCTGAGGCAGGTGGATCACTTGAGGTCAGGGCTTTGAGACCAGCCTGGCCAACATGGTGAAACCCTGTCTCTAGAAAAATTAGCTGGGCATGGTGGTGTGCACCTGCAATCCCTGCTACTCTGGAGGCTGAGGCAGGAGAATTGCTTGAACCTGGGGGCAGAGGTTGCAGTAAGCCAAGATCATGCCACTGCACTCCAGTGTGGGCAAGAGAACAAGACTCTGTCTCAAAAGATAAAAAAAAAGAAAAAAGAGAAAGTAGACCAGTGGTTGTAAAGGCTTGGGAGAAGGAGGAAAGGGGAAGTTATTTTTTTTTTTTTATTGTATTTGGGCTCTGGGGTACATGTGCATGTCCTGCATCCTGCAGGATTGTTGCATAGGTACATATATGCCATGGTGGTTTGCTGTCTCCATCTCCCCACCCACCCATTGCCTATGTCAGGCATTTCTTCTGGTGTTATCCCTCTCCATCCTCCCCACCCTAACCCCTTGTCCCTCCCCTTCACCCCCCCACCTAGCCCTATAAATGTTTTTCCCTTCCTTGTGCCCAAGAGCTCTCATTGTTCATCACACGACTATGAGTGAAAATATGCGGTGTTTGGTTTTCTGTTCTTGTGTCAGTTTGCTGAGAATGATGGTTTCTAGGTTCATCCATGTCTCTACAAAGGACACGAATTCATCGTTTTTTATGGCTGCATATGATATATATGTGCCACATTTTTTTTGTCCGGTCTATCATCAATGGGCATTTGGGTTGGTTCCAGGTCTTTGCTATCATGAACAGCAACCCATCGAACATACGTGTGCATGTGTCTTTATGACAGAACGATTTATAATCCTTTGGGTATATACCCAGTAATGGGATTGCTGGGTCACATGGAATTTCCATTTCTAGATCCTTGAGGAATCGCCACGCAGTCTTCCACGATGGTTGAACTAATTTATACTCTCACCAACAGTGTAAAAATTGGGGAAGTTATTGATTAATGGGTAGAGTTTCGGTTTTGCAAAATGAAGAGTGTTCTGGAGATGGATGGTGGTGATGGTTGCAAGTGAAAATAATTAATATTCCTGAATTATATACATAAAAATAGTTCAGAAGGTAAATTTCATGTTACGTGTATTATACCACAATAAAAAAGTGCTAATTTTTAAGAAGGGGGGAATAGGATTTCATTGTTTTGCTTACTTTATAAGCCTTAATATTATACCTTTTTAAAACACCTAACTTTATTCTCGTTTTTAAATATTTACACACACACACACACACTTTTTCTTTTTTGAGACCAGCTGGAGTGCAGTGGTGACATCATAGCTCACCATAGCCTCAATTTCCCAGGCTCAAGTGATCCTCCTGCCTCAGCCTCCTGAGTAGTTGGGACTATAGGTGTAAGCTACCACACCGTCTACTTTTTTTGATTTTTATTAGAGACGAGGTTTGTCTGTGCTGCCCAGTGTGGCCTCCAACTCCTGATCCTCTCGCCTTGGCCGCCCAAAGTGCTGGGCTTACAGATGTGAGCCACTGGGCTACGCCTATTTGCTATTGTTTTTATTTTGACTCTTCAACCTCCCATAACTTGATACTTGTGGGAATAAAGACCTCATTACTAGTACAACCATCTCTACCATTATGACAGCTGCCACCAACACTGGTTGGGACCATGGGTAAATCAAAGCTTTACTGGTTCAGGGTATTCACAAATGATGTCATTGAGAAGATCTCATAACAGCAAAAAGACACTTAGGTCCCATTAAAGTTTCTGCTTGGCATGAATACTACCCTCTGGTGTGAATCTTATATCTTTTTTAACTCTTTTCAAACATGGAGACATATTTGAAATACATAACAAGTCACATGTCAAATGCAGCCAATCACACATCAACGCAGGTATTTTGACTCTTTGTTGTCTCCCAACTTTTAGCTGGTGGAAGCAAAAAAACCACTTGGATGCAAAAAGATCTGTGTTCAAAACCCTATGAACTGCATGACCTTGTACTAATTATCTAACCTGTGTATACCTTACTTGTTGCTTACTGGTAAAGAGAAAATAACACCACCTACCACAGAAGTAAACTGTGAAGATTAAAGTTTGTAGTGGGATCATGCAAAAGCACGACCTATATGAAAACCACTACCTGTTAAAAACACATGAGTAGATGACAGCCATTATTACTGTGCTTACTTGAACATCAATTTCCTGAGGGATAGCCTGGCTTTGGATCCAATTATACACCTTGGCCAGCTCCTCCTGTTGCCCCTGAGAAAACTGGGGCTGCTGCTGCTTCATACTCTCTAGCCTTTCTAGGTCTTCTTTTAGTACAACTTCTTTAACCCTGAAAACAAACAGAATCGTAAGAGTCCTGAATCAGACACAGGGTTCTCATCATGTCATCTAGCAATATCATTTCTTTTTGGTTGGTAATACACCTTACATTTTCTAACATATGAGGCATACAATTCAAAAATAACTAGAGCATTTCCTTGTCAAGTAGGTAAAGTAGACTTTTTTCTTGGTGGAAAATATCTGTATGATGTTTTAATGAGGTGTATGGAAGAAAGTGATTTCCCTTCGCTGTTTTCTTTCAGAACAAGGAAAAAAAATCGAGAGTCTAAAACGAAAAGTTCTTGTACTTGTGTGCCGTCTCGGAAAGCACAGACTTTCTGTTTCCTTGTCTCATGATGTGTAAGCTTTGGATCTCAATATAGGTGGCCCTATCATTGCCACCCTTATTTTAAGAAATCATCATTTGACTTCAAATGAATAAATTTGAAAATACATTTCTCAAAGGGAAGTTATAAAACATTCAAAAATTATTTTGTCTTTAAAAACACATTAAGAAACTATAGGCTGGGCGCGGTGGCTCACACCTGTAATCCCAGCACTTTGGGAGGCTGAGGCGGGTGGATCACCTGAGGTCAGTGGTTCAAGACCAGCCTGGCCAACATGATAAAACTCTGTCTCGGCCAGGTGCAGTGGCTCACGCCTGTAATCCCAGCACTTGGGGAGGCTGAAGTGGGTGAATCACTTGAGGCCAGGAGTTTGAGACCAACCTGAACAACATGGTGAAACCACATCTCTACTAAAAATACAAAAAACTACCCAGATGTGATGGTGCATGCCTGTAATCCCAACTACTCAGGAGGCTGAGGCAGGAGAACAGCTTGAATCGGGAAGGCGGAGGTAGCAGTGAGCTAAGATCGCGCCACTGCACTCCAGCCTGGGCGACAAGAGACTATGTTTCAAAGAAAAAAAAGAAAACCAAAAACCCTGTCTCTACTAAAAATGCAAAAATTAGTCAGGTGTGGTAGTGTGCGCCTGTAATCCCAGCTACTCAGGAGGCTGAGGCAGGAGATCGCTTGAACCTGGGAGGCAGAGGTTGCAGTGAGCTGAGATTGTGCCACTGCACTCCAGCCTGGGTGACTGAGACTCCATCTCAAAAAAGAAAAAAAGAAACCATGAAAATATAAAAAGTGGGTCTTCTAAAGTGCTTTCTTACCTCTCAGGTACCTGATACGTCATGAGAATGCACTCAGGTGTCTGTCGTATCATTCTCCAGATGGACTCTTCGGCGACATTGGGAAATATTTCTTTTTTCTGTACATCCTGAGATTGCTGCCCATTTTGGGAGATTTCAGAAGAATAAGCACTACTAGTAAAGTATACACTGCAGTCACTGCTTCCTGTCAAAAATCAACAACAAATAATTAGAAAAGACCTGTCTGACTGATTTGACAAGCTGGTTCTCATTCTTCAAAGACTCTTGCCTCAGACAGTCCTCCTCATCCGCCAGCCCAACCATTATTTCCAAGAAACATCCTCTTCCCTGTGAACAGGGTTCTCTGGTCTTCCCAAGATCTCTTTTTCCATTCCTAATGAGCCACCACTCTCAAGGCTACACACATTGTCCTTTATCATCACCCATAACTGTTCCATCTCCAAAATCATTAACATCTCAGCTTCACTTTCTCATTGGCTTGTTCAATTATTTCAACCATAAACTTATCTCAGTCTTCCGGTAGTTCCTTCACTATTCAGCCTAAGCCCTCAGTTCATCATTCAGTAACACACCTTGCAATACCTTAGACTTCTTTTTCCCTCTGACTTTTCATAACTGTCAAAATGCCAACTCCAATAAAGCCAATTATTGACTTTGTTCTTACCTAAACCAAAGTAGCCAAATGCATGGAAAAAGTCACATATAGGGTCCAGTGTTTCTACAATAAATTCATCATCACCAACCTCAAATGGACTATCAAAATGCCTGGGAATCCTGCTACCATCCTCTGGTCAATGCACTAACCTACCCCAGCAATAATTATTTTCAACTTCTCTATTTCCTCCCTCACTCTCAACTATTTTACGAAGAAAAAAGAAGGCATCCGAAAGCAAATTGCTCAGCTTCATGATACCAAAACATACACAATTAATCATATATGTACTCCCTCCTCACCTTCCTCCTGTCACAAGAGAGAAACTTCATCCCAAAAACCATACTTTTATTGCTGCTTATGAAGCCTTAGGATCATTCCTTTCCTATCTTGCATTTGACTCTTCTAGATCCTTCTCATTGACTCTGAAGGAATTAAAAATACAAAACAAAAAGATTTGTCTAATTTTTTTTTAAAAAACTAAATATATGAGTAAACGTAATAAAAAATTTTCCTCATTAAAAAATATCTTTAGGTTGGGCATGGTGGCTTACACCTGTAATCCTGGCACTTTGGGAAGCCAAGATGAGACCATTGTTTGAGGCCAGGAGTCCGAAACCAGCCTGGGCAACACAGTGAGATCCCATCTCCATAAAAATAAAAAATCAGCTGAGTGTGGTGGTGTGTGCCTGTAGTCCCACCTACTCAGGAGGCTGAGGCTGAAGGATTGCTTGTGCCCAGGCGTTTGAAGCTACAGTGAGCTATGATTGCACCAGCGCACTCTAGAGAGCCTGGGTGACAGAGACCCTGTGTCAAAAAAAACACAACAACAACAACAACAAAAAAAAAACACCCACACAAGAAGACTTTAAAAGATTATTACTGTTTAAAGCAAAAACAATACAATGTTATTGTGGGCTTTTTTACACATGTTAAAAGGATGACAAAAATAGCACAAAAGACAAGGGGGAAATGGAAGTACTCCGTTTTAAGGTTCTAATACATAAAGTGATACAATAGGTATAATATTTGAAGGTGAACTGTGATAAGTAAAAGATGTACACTGTAAATCCTAGAGCAGGCCATGCATGGTGGCTCATGCCTGTAATCCCAGCACTTTGGGAAGCTGAGGTGGGCAGATCACCCGAGGTCAGAAGCTTGTGACCAGCCTGGCCAACACGGTGAAACGCTGTCTCCACTAAAAACACAAAAAATCATCTGGGTGTGGTAGCACATGTCTGTAGCACTGGCTAATTGGGAAGCTGAAGCAAGGCAGGAGAATAGCTTGAACCTGGGAGGTGGAGGTTGCAGTGAGCAGAGATCATGCCACTGCACTCCAGCCTGACTCAGAGCGAGACTCAGTCTCCAAGAAAAAATAAAAATAAAAAAGTAAATCCTAAAGCAGAAACTTAAAAAAAATCGGTATACTTGAAAAGCCAATACACAATTAACCCAAAAGGAGGAGAGTGGGAGGAAAAAAAGAAAGGGCAGATGAGACCAACAGAAAATAGCAGCAAGACAAAAGACTTAACTTAAACCTAACCATATCAATAGTCACATTAAATGTAAATAGTCTAAGCAAGCACTGCAGTAAAAGGCCGAGATCATTATATGGATAAAAAGCAATACCCAACTCTGTGGTGGTTACAAGAGACTCACTTTAAATATAAAGACACAGATAAGTTAAAAGTAAAGAGATGAAAAACAAAATACCATGTAAACACTAATCAAATAAAGCTGGACTGGATACACTGATATCAGACAAAGCAGACTTCAAAGCAAGACATATTTCAGGATAAAGAGATCAATTCAGCTGGCTGTGGTGGCTCACGCCTGTAATCCCAGCACGCTGGGAGGCTGAGGCGGGTGGATCACGAGGTCAAGAGATTGAGGCCATCCTGGCAAACATGGTGAAACCCTGTGTCTACCAAAAATACAAAAATTAGCTGGGCGTGGTGGTGGGTGCCTGTAGTTCCAGCTACTTGGGAGGTTTTGATAGGAGAATCGCTTTAACCTGGGAGGCGGAGGTTGCAGTGAGCTGAGATTGTGCCACGGCACTTGGGCCTGGCAACAGAGTGAGACTCCGTCTCAAAAATCAAGAGGACATAATAACCTTCAGTGTATATACACCTAATAAAAGACCTTCAAAACACATGAAGCAAATACTGATTGCACTATAAGAAAAAATAGAGAAATCCACAATTATAGCTGGACATATAAGAGCCGTATCATAATAACTTGTAAAACAGATAGAAAATCAGTTAGAATAGAGAAGGTTGGATCAATGTCACCAACCAACTTGATCTAATTTACATTTATAGAACACATGACTCAACAATAGCAGAACACATACTCTTTTCAAATGCACATGAAACATTCATCAAGATGGACCAAATTCCAGACCACTACACAATGTCTCAGTAAATTTACAAATACAAAAAAATGTTCTCTGATTACATTTAAATTAGAAATAAAATAAAAATATCTAAAAAGTTTCCAAATATTAGGAAATCAAGCCTTTCTAAATAATCCAAAGATCAAAGAAGAAAATACAAGTGAAATTAGAAATATTTTAGACTGGCCAGGCACAGTGGCATGTGCCTGCAGTCCTAGCTACTCAGGAAGCTGAGGCCAGAGGATTGTTGAGCCCAGGAGTTTGATGCTGCAGTGAGCTGGGATCATACCACTGCACTCCAGCCTGGGCAGTCAAGTGAGACCTTGGCTCAAAAAAAAAAAAAAAGAGAACTACTTAAGCTGAATGAAAATGAAAATATAACATACCAAAATTTGAGGGATGCAATGGTTAGAGCACTCAATAACATTAAATGTTTATACTGGGGGAGAAAAACCTTAATTCAGTGATCTAAGCTTCTACCTTAAGAAATGAGAAAAAGAACAAATAAAATCCAAAGTAAAGAGAAAAGTAGTAATAACAATTAGAGCATAGGCCAGATGTGGTGGTTCATGCCTGTAATCCCAGCACTTTGAGAGGCCAAGGTGGGCAAATCATGGTGAAACCCCATCTCTACTAAAGATAAAAAAATTAACCGGGCATGGCGGTGGGCACTTGTAATCCCAGCTACTCAGGAGGCTAAGGCAAGAGAATCGCTTGAACCCGGGAGGTGAAGGCTGCAGTGAGCCAAGATCACTGCACTCCAGCCCAGGGAAGCAGTGCGAGACTCTGTCTCAAGAAAAAAAATTAGAGCATAAATCAATAAAATAACCCCCCCACCAAAAAAAAAAAAAAAAAAAGGAAAAAAACCCCACTGAGATCAAAAGTTGCTTCTTTGAAAAGTTATTAAAATTGATAAACATACAGTCAGATTGATCAGGAAAAAATATGAATACCAGCAGTAAGAGAGGTACATTACTATAAAACCCACAGACAGTAAAAAGAAAAGGGAATATTATTAAAACTTTATGCCAATACGCTCAACAAATTAGATGAAATAGATACATTTTTTAGAAGATACAAATTACCAGAGATCTCTAAGAAACTGATAACCTGGTTAGACCTATATCAGAGAATTTAAATTTGTTGTTAAAATCTTTCTCACTGAGAAAGCTCCAGGCCCAGAAAGATTCACTGGTAAATTCTACCAAACATACAAAGAAGTAGTAACAGTTTAACACAAACTCTTCCAGAAAACAGAATAGCAAAGAATAGTTCCTAGCTTATTTTCTGAGGCCAGAATTACCGATACCAAAACCAGACAAAGACATTATAAGTAAAGAAAGGAAATGGACCAATATTCTGCACAGAGATACAATAATGTGTAACAAAATATTAGAAAGATAATCCAACAACATATAAAAAAGGATAAAAGAGCATGACCAAATGCAAGGTTAATTTATTGTCAGAAAATGGAGGTAATTCACCACAGTAATAGAAGACGGGAGGAAAACCACATGAATATCTCAACAGATGCAGAAAAGGCATCTCAGCAGGGCAGCAGAAGTGAACTTCCTCCATCTGATAAGGGCATTCAAGGAAAACTTACATTTAACATCATACTTAATGATGAAACACTAACTCCTTTCCCCTTAAGACTCTGAACCAGGTAAAAGTGTCTATGTTCCTATTTTTATTAAACACTTCGCTGGGGGTCCTAGCCAGTTCAATGAGACAAGACAAAGACATACAGATGGAAAAAAAGAAGTAAAACTCTATTTGCAGATAATAAAGACGGTGTAGAAAAGTTCTGCAGAATCTACAAAAGAGCTACTAAAACTAATAAATGAGTTTAGCAAGACTGCAGAATGTAAGTTAAAAATATACAATTTGACTAAATTTCTATATGTTAACAACAAACAATTGCAAATTGAAAATTTTAAAAGCCATTTACAATAGCATCAAGAATTATAAAATCCTTAAGAGATAAATTTAGCAAAATATGTCAAAGAGTTGCAGGCTGAAAACTATAAAACATTGCTGAGAAGAGTTAAAGACCTAAATAGAGAAATCGTACCTGTGGATCAAAATACTCAATATCATTAGGAAGATAATTCTTCGAAAACTGATCATCTATAGATTCAACACAATTTCAATCAAAACACCAGAAGTCTTTTTTTTTTTAGAAACTGAGAAATGGAGTCTATAATTTACATGGACAAAGGATCTAAAATATTCAAAATCATTTTGAAAAGAAGAATTAAGTTGAGGGACTTACTTCACCAGACTTCAAGACTTACTTGAAAGTTACATTACTCCAAAGTGTGGTATTGCCCTAAAGCTGGTCATACAGATCAGTGGAACAGAAAAGAGAGTCCCGAAATAGACCCACATATATAAGGTCAAGTGATTTTCAACAAAGGTGTCATGGCAATTTAATGGGGGAAAGATTCATCCTTTAAACAAACAGGGCAGGAATAATTAGATATCCCAATGTGAAGAAAGTATATTGACCCTTCCTTATACCATACACAAAAATTAACTCAAAATGGATCACAGATCTAAGCTTTAAAGGCCACTCGGGGTGTGTCTCATCTCAACAGCATCATGCTAACTGAAAGAATCCTAATACGGAAGACGGCATACTGTCTGATTCAATACATCAATTATAGGAAAAGCAAACTAAAGTGTTTCAAAGAAAGCAAACCAGTACCTGCCAGGAGACCAAAGGTCAGGGCAGAGACAGACTGGTGAGGGTCACAGAACTTTTTGGGGTGACAGAAATGTTCTATATGGTGATTGTGGTGGTGCTTACACTAAGGTGCATGCACATCTGTCAGAATTCTTGTTTGTACTCCTAAAATTGGTGAATTTTATTGCGTGTAAATAGGCCCCCATTTTTTTTTGACAAGAAGAAAAAAGGAAAAAATAAAAAACCCTGTACTTCCACATCAGTGCCTGGGGTACACAGTGAGAGCTCATCACACAGTGAATGGAGTTTGAAACATTGGTTGTCCTGATCCACTACCTGATGCTGCAGAACCAGTTCCGGATGGAGTCTCCCTGGGAGGTGACCCCGTGGACAGCACGCCGGCAGTAGGATGCGATGGAGTCTCCCTGGGAGGTGATCCCATGGACAGTGCGTGGGTAGTAGCGGGACTGCCCTCACTGCCACTGTTGCCTATAACACACTGCTAGAAAGTAAGGGCACATGAAAAGACACTTTAATCTTCTTACCACAAAATACAGTAGTCCTCCTTTATTCATGGTTTTGCTTTCTGTAGTTTCAGTTACCTGTGGCCAACCGAGGTCCAAAAACAGTAAAGGGAAAATTCCAGAAACAGTTCCTAAGTTTAAAATCGCGAGCCATTCTGAGTAGTGTCATGAAGTCCTTGCTTCCCTCCACCCTGTATGTGGGACCCACCTGTTAGGAGTCGCCTCGGTTATCAGATCTACTGCGGTGGTATCGTAGTGCTTGTGTTCAAGTAACACTTACTTTACTTAATAATGGCCCCAAAGTGCAAGAGTAATGATGCCAGCAATTGGGATATGCTAAAGATAAGTCGTAAAGTGCTTCATTTAAGTGAAAAGGTGAAAGTTCTCAAGAAGGAAAGGAAAAAACCCACATGCTGAGGGTGCTAAAATCTTAGGAAGAATGAATCTTCCATCTGTGAAACTGCGATGAGTATATTGCTGTAACTGTCCTATGTTATTATTAGTCACTACTGTTAAACTCTTACTGTTTTTAATTTATAAATGAAACTTTACCATAGGTATGTATAGTATGTAAAGGAAAAACACACAGTATATAGGGTTCAGATCTATCCATGGTTCCCGGCATCCACCAGGGTCTGAAACATATCCCCTGGGTAAGGGAGACTACTGTAACTGGCAGATCTTCAACTTCATATGTTAAAGGGAATAAAATTTATATATATAAGTAAGAAGTAAAAGCTTTCCAGCCTAGCTCTAAGAATAAGTTCCTTTGTAAGTGATATGAACGCAGTACTACTTTCTCAGTACCTACTACATGCCAGGCACCGCACAGGTGATTTTTTTGCTGCTCAGCAAATACGTATTGAACATTTTATATGTTCTAAGCACTGTGTCAAACACTAGGAATATAATAATGAACAAAACAAACTTCCAGCTCTCTAGGAGCTCCTGCTACATGGGGAGAAGTACTACATAAATACTACATCATTTAGCCCTCAGAGTAAGCTATGAGGGATTCACCTTTCCATTTTCCTGATAAGGAAACAGAGGCAAAGAAAGGTGAAATACTTGTCTAAGCGAATCTACCTAACTAGTGACAGAGCTGGGGTTTGAATCCGTGTCTTACTCCATAGCCCAGGTTTTAGTCACTGTAATACATTCCCTTGCCTTAGATTTTTAGCAAGTACGCTAATACTAGGCTTTCAAAAGTCAGCATATTGTCTTGATTTGGATCACAGATTTTGAATCTCTGTTAAAGGAGGGTATTACACCTTGAAGGTCAAAGAAAACTTTGTGTAAATATTCATACTTGCCTTGGATTCTACACAGGAATGTCAGATTTCAAAGCTTAACCTGCTAAATAAGCCTGAGAATGACTTTCTAGGTAAAGGGATGAAAAGTTAAAGGAAGCAGACCAAAAAAACTTTTGATTTTGAAAAAATGACGTTTAAGTGTGAAACTATAAACTGCCTTCTCTACTGATAATACAAATAAAGTAGCTGCTACTGCTCATGCACACCTGTTGTCCTGTGACTGTGCGTGAAGACGCACAATCGATAAATTGTCAATATGGCTAATTCCCATCTTACCAGACCATAATCCCAGTTGTGGGTAAGCAAATATATATTATAGGCAATGAACACTTACGGGTAATACCTGGATCGAATTTTAAAAAGTGGAGGGAATCCAGTTCACATGAAAACTTGAAAGAAGCACTTTGGGAAAAACCTCACAAAGTAAGAATCCAGAATATAGACGATTCTTTCATGTCTACTTTCCAAACAGCCAGGCATGTGTGTTTCGTGTTTATACATAATTAGGCTAACAGGCCCACTCACAGCAGCCGTGAGGATTAACCACTGAGGATGTCAGCAGTGAATCCCAATGCAAGCACCTTAACTTTAGTAAAGTTATTTACTTTGTCACTTGAGTGTTGAAAATGAGCATCACTTACATACTCAGCTTGTGGGGACCTGTTCCTTCTTATCTCATCTGAAGATTCAGAAGGTCTGGGCATCTCTTCCTGAAGTAAGTTTAGCTGCAAGGGCGAGCTGCTCCTTGAGGAAATGAATGGGGGCCCCTCGCTTTGTGCCTCCCACTTTTCCTCCTCTCTCCTTTGGTTGGTGATTGAAGGGGGTGTGTCCAGGTTTGGAGTCACTGCTGACATTGAGGGTGATATTGCAGAACAGGCTGTCACCCCCAGAAATGGACATGGGAAGAACGATGGCGACAACAGAGGGCAGACAGAGGGGTCAGGCAGGAAAACGGTCATAAAAGTATCCAAGTAAGGGGAAGGGAAAGCTGGGCAAGTCTGCTGGTCCTTGGACGAGGACGGCCCAGGCAGGACTTCCGGCGCAGTTCCGGGGGCGGCATATTCTCTTCCGGGACAGGTCACGGCTGGGATGAGGTAAGGGGCGTGGCCGGGTACCATGGCGGCAGGTGGGAAGGTCGGGCCTGAGGAGTGCGGAGAAGAGGCCGCGGAGGGGCAGCAGGGCTGTGCGTTCAGATGCGCTCCCCTGCGGGGACCGGAGCCTGTGTTCGAGCTGCTGCTGTCCGGCGGCTCCAGCAGCTTCTTCCGCTTGTGCTTCCCTTTCCTGCAGCCGGCCGACCGAGTCTGCTTGGAAGTCGAATCTCCTGGAAAGATAAAGGTAGAAGCAAATTACGGAAGATTAAACCCAAAAAGAAGAGAAGGATGCCATTTACAGGTACTTTATAAATAGCTGAGAAAGGAATGCCCATTTGCCAATACTACCAGAATGGCAAAAAGTGGCTCTAAAAAAGATGAACAAAATTCCGGGTAAAAATCATTGCTAGCGAGTAAACTTATTTCAGCATCTCTTGATCAGTTTCTCATGAAAAAACAGTTTCTCATGAAAAAACAGTTTCTAAGATATAGGATCTAAGAGCAAACCTAGAGAAATTGTTGATATAAATAGATTGTTTCAGCATCTCCCTATCAGTTTCTTACAAGTAAAACTCCTACTGTTCACTCCTTATCTCCGAGTCCTTAGATATAATTTATAACATCTACATAGATTGATGGCATTTATTTATTTTTGAGACAGAGTCTCCCTGTCACCAGGCTGAAGCACAATGGTGGGATCTCAGCTCACCACAACCTCCACCTCTTGGGTTCAAGTGATTCTCCTGCCTTAGCCTCCCAAGTAGCTGGGACTACAGGCGCCCACCACCATGCCCCGTTAATTTTTTATTTTAGTAGAGGCGGGGTTTCACCATGTTGGCCAGGATGGTCTTGATCCCTTGACCCTGTGATTTGCCTGCCTCGGCCTCCCAAAGTGCTGGGACCACAGGCATGAGCCACCATGCCTGGCCAATGGCATTTATTTTTAAAAACTCACCTACCTTGAAAATATGCATATTTAGCTTTGCTCCTGCTTTCTTGCTGAAGATAGGAGCTGTAGGGTGATGACAGGATCTTTTCTCGGAATTTATCAACATAATTCTGCTCTTCCTTCTGGGTGTGTGCCGACAGAACAGCCGCAGTGAGCCCCACGTGTTTAAATTCTTCTGAGGTCAAAGGGGCTGGCCGCATGTTCAGGGTCCAGGGCTCATACATGAGGGTGGCATCCCTGGCTGAGGTGGAAGAAGATGTATTTAATTTCTATCAATTATTGGTATTTATTTATTTTACTTTGTTAACTGCCTTTCAGTTAACATTTTTACAAACATTATAACTGCGGGAATACCAAAAAGCTTCATTAGCCTAGCAGAGAAATTCTTGATTTTCTGTCTTCCTTTATATTCTTTGCACAAATGCACACACATTTCATAGTTGTAATAATATGCACACATTTATTTAAATCTTGCTTTTATTGTAAACATTTTTCTCTCTCCCTGAATTCTTCAAAATTTCTTTTTATCTTTGAATTTATTTTTAAAATAGGTAATATATTCATGTGGTTCAAAAATCAGCAAGTATTAAAAATGACATGTAATAAATTCTCCTCATCTCTGTCCACGCTCTGTCTAGTTCTTGTTTGTTTCCCTTGCAGAAGACCATTCCTGGAGTGAAGTCTCACTCTGTTGTCAGGCTGCAGTGGTGCGATCTTGGCCCACTGCAACCTCCCTGGGGGTTCAAGCGATTCTGCCTCAGCCTCCTGAGTAGCTGGGACTATAGGCGTGTACCACCACGCCTAGCTAAGTTTTGTATTTATCTATTTAATTTTTTGTTTGAGATGGAATATCGCTCTTATTGCCCAGGGTGGAGTGCAATGGTGCTAACTTGGCTCACTGCAACCTCTGCTTCCTGAGTTCAAGTGATTCTCCTGCCTCAGTTTCCCAAGTAGCTGCGATTACAGGCACATGCCACCATGCCTGGCTAATTTTGTAGTTTTAGTAAAGATGGGGTTTTTACCATGTTGGCCAGGCTGGTCTCGAACTCTTGACCTCAGGTGATCCACCCACCTCGGCCTCCCAAAGTGCTGGGATTAGAAGCATAAGCCACTGCACCTGGCCCTTTCAGTTTCTTTATTACATATGAACAAGCATGAATATAGATTATCTTCCTCCCTGGCCCCGTCTTTACCCAAAGGCACATATGTACATTAGCTACCAATGTACCTTTTTCACTTTACGGTATCCCTTGGAGAACTTTATCAATGCCTCGACAGTTGTCTCGTACTTCTACACTGCTGTGGAATTCCATTTTATATGCATACCAGTTTACTAAAGTGAGCATCTATGGATGGATTTTGGGTTGCCTCTTTTTTATCTGGTTATTTAACTATTTATTATTGATACAGAATAGTCGTACACTAAATTTTCTTTTATTGATATAGAATAGTTATATATATTTTGGGGATGATTACTTCTTCTAAGAACAAAAGATTTTGTGGTGGACACTGTAGAGGTGGACATCCATGCTGGCCCACCTCTGTGGTGTGGTATCCAGGTGGTCTGGCCCCACTCCACACCCGGAAGTGGCCTGTAACACCACAGGGGCTTCACTTCTAGCCAAGTTGTAGTAACAGGGACCAAACTTACCTTCCTGTCTGAGATTAAAAAAAAAAATGGCCAAAATATATAAAGCAGTAGATTTCAGACATTGAAGGAAAGTGACCCCCAAGGATAAGAAACAAGAGCGGTGAGCCTGAGGGCTGCCCCAGCACACAGCCTGGAGGGTTTCCAAGGACTTTCCAAGGCATTCATGGGAAGAAAAAATCACCTGAGAGGGCTAGCGGGAACAAGAGCCGAAGCTCACACAAGCTGCAGAACAGTGCCGGCTCCCATCTGCCAGACTAGAGAATCTCCTCACTCCTGAGGCACCACATGGAGCACTCAGGAGGGTCTTGCCTTGGTAGCAGAGAAAAAGCAGGCCTAGACTACACGCTATTTGTCCTGCCTAACAAATTTAAAAAGCAAAACCTGAAAGGATCAATCTGTTTCCAAGTAACGTAACTGCGGCCCAGAATAAAGATCAAGAATATAGGAATACAAAAATATTTGGTACTCATTCACAGTATCTGGCATCCAATTAAAAAAAATCACCAGGCATACAAAGAAGCAGGAAAATATAACCCCATAATAAGGAATAAACATACTGAGAAACTGAGTCTACAATTTATGCAGACAAAAGACCTAGCATATTCAAAGCAATCTTGAAAAAGAATCAAATTGAAGGATTTATACTAGCTGATTTCAAGACTTACTGTACAGCCACATGAACTAAGACCACTCTGTACTGGGATAAGAGGTTTATCAATTTTGTTCATCTTTTCAAAGAACCAACTTTTAGCTTTAAATTTCTCTACTATCTGTTTTCTATTTTGTTGGCTTTTATCTTTATTATTTCCTTCATTCCATCTTGGACTGACTTCACCCTTCCTTGGCTAACTTTTTAAACTGTAGCTTTAGATCACTGATTTGAGACATCTCTTCCCTAACGGCATTTTAAAGCTACTGATCTTCTTACAAGCCCTATTTTTAGCTGTACCCCATACATTTTAGTATGCTATACTTGCAATATCAGTGATTTGGAAATATTTTCTAATTTTCTTTGTGATTTCTTTTTTGACTCACAGGTTTCGAAATGTGTTGTCTGACTTCTAAATATTTGGGTTTAAATATACTGATTTTTAATTTAAATCACTAGCCAGAGAACACAGTTTACACATCACACCATCAATCTTTTTAAATCTGAGACACAGTACAGCCCAACATGTCTTATTTCTCAGTGAACATACTGTGTGTACTTGAAAAGACTGTGTATTATGCAGTTACTGGGTCTCTGTTCTCTAAGTCTCAATTAGATCAAGGTGGTTGATAGTGTTGCAAAGATCATTTTTCTTTATTTTTTCTCTATCTATTTTTATCAATTGCAGAGAGGGAGTGAACGACTTTCCAAATAGAATTATGGGAAGTCTATTTCCACATTTTTGCTACAGAGCTTTCAAAGCTCTGTTATTAGTGAATACAGATTTATGACTGTTATGTCTTCCTGAACTGACTGCTGTGTCATTGTGAAATGACTGTCCTGAAGTCTACTTTGCACATATTAATAAGGCACTGCAGCCTTCCTGTGCTTATTGTTTGACTTGCACATCTTTTTCCATTCATTTACTTTCCACCCATTTGTGAATTTTAATTGTACTTTGCAGAGGGCATATAGTTAGGTCTTGATTTTTTTAAATCTGTTTTGAGAATGTTTGCCTTTTATGTATTTACTTATTTTTAGAGACAGGGTCTTGCTTTGTCACTCAGGCTGGAGTACAGTAATGTGATCAGAGCTCACTGTAGTACTGAACTCAAGATGGGCTCAAACTAAGCTCAACTGATCCTCCTGCCTGTGCCTCCCAAGTAGCTGGGACTACAGGTGTGGGTCACTGCACCTGGCTAACTTAAAAATTTTTTTGTAGAGATGGGGTTTCACTATATTGCCCAGGCTGGTCTCAGACTTCTGGCCTCAAGCAATCTTCTTACCTCCTCGGCCTCCCGAGTCTCTGAGATTACAGGTGTGAACCACTATGCTTGGTCCAATTTTTGCCTTTTAATTGAAGTACTGAGTCAATTTTATGTCATTATTGACAGAGCTGGATTTAGAGCTATTCTCTTGTTACTTGGTTTGTTCTGTTTCTTTTTTGTTTATCCTCCTTTCCTGCCCTTCTTTTTTGAGTGTATTTCAAAATTTCATTTTATTGATTGGCTTTTTAGCCATTGTACCTCATGTACCATCTTTTAAAAAATTATTTTAGGGCTAGGTGTAATGGATCACGCCTGTAATCCTAGCACTTTGGGAGGCCGAGGCAGGCATATCACCTGAGGTCAGGAGTTCAAGACCAGCCTGGCCGACATAGTAAAACCCTGTCTCTACTAAAAATACAAAAATTAGTTGGGTGTGGTGGCAGGTGCCTGTAATCCCAGCTACTTGGGAGACTGAGGGAGTAGAATTGCTTGAACCTTGGAGGCAGAGGCTGCAGGTAGCTGAGATCGCATCACTGCACTCCAGCTTGGATGACAGAGTGAGACTCTGATTCAAAAAGAAAAAAAGTAATTTTTTGTAGACAGGGTCTCACCAAGTTGCCCAGGCTGGTCTCAAACTCCTGACCTCAGGTGATATGCCTGCCTTGGCCTCCCAAAGTGCTAGGATTACATGCATGAGCCACTGTGCCTGGCCTATATTCCATCTTAATTAGATCCTGCTTTAGCTTCAAAATATCTATAATGGCAATGACTCCTAGAGACTAATGGTCAATAATCGATTCCCTACTCTACTACTCATGGGCTGTGTGATACTGGGCAAGTTAAGTTACTTTACCTATTTGTGCCTTAATTGTTCCACACATAAAATGAAGATATTAACTTGCAAGGGAATATATCTGTGATCATGGTCCTCAGACATAGCTCATTAAAATCAGAATGTAAACTGAGGGAATGAATACGAGCTTTTCAGAAAGCAAAAGACATAGAGATAATTTTTTAAGAACATCTGGGCTCTAATTCTGCTTTTTCTCCATGGAATAAAGATGTGGTCCTGTACATGTTGAGGCTGATTTAAGATCAGGAGAAACTAATACCAGTAAAAATTTCCTAAAGCACATGGACTTTAGTATAAATTCATTAAAAATAGTAATATAAAAGCAGAGTACAGAAAGCAGAGTGGCAGAGTCAAAAAAGAGCTTTTATTTTATTAATTTTTTGTATTTTTAGTAGAGGCGGGATTCCACCATGTTGGCCAAGATGGCCTCCATCTCCTGACCTTGTTATCCACCTGCCTCAGGCTCCCAAAGTGCTGGGATTACAGGCGTGAGCCATCGCGCCCGGCCCAAAAAGAGGTTTCCCTATTGGGTAAGACCGTCCCTTCCTGTATGGGCTGTACTGTGAACAGCTACACGGCCACACAGGAATGCAGAATATTAAAAATGTGCATATGCTCCTGTCTGGAGGGGCTAGCTCAGGTCCAGTGAAACTCTACTTTTGACTAATTAGAAACGTAATGCTCTCTGGTCTTTCCCCACCAGTCCACAGTTCTCCTGTCAGTACCACGCTCTCCGTCTCACAAATTGTTAGAAAGAGTTAATGAGACCATTCCAATGAAGAACTAAGAGCAGACAGTGGCACACGGAAATGGCTCAATGCATATTAGCTGATATGCCATTGAAGACTAGCAAAGATAAAGTAGAGATCATGTGAAAACCCAATTTAACATATTTGTCACCATTCCTTCATCTACCCAAATTATTATGAGCAATGAAAAAGTCAAAAGGACAGGTGGCAATAAAGAGGAATAAAAAGAAGCCGGGAGAATAATTTACTAAGTAATTATGGTGTTAAATGAAGAGTTTTTAAGGTACTCTACTCATTGCTATCACACAAATACAAAAATCTGAATATATGTTTGACTAAGCTCATCACAACTATACAGGATGGTGAAACGCAGGCCCATTCTTTAAAAGTCAGCAACGAGGTAACCTAACACAGTGCCATTAATAACTGCATTAATAATGACTAACACCAATTGAGTACTACCTATCTACTAGGTACTATATTAAGTGCTTCATATGTGTCATCTGATTTCATTGACAAATAACATAGCTGAGAAATAAGGTCCAAAAGATGTAACTGACATAAACATGACAACGTTTCCAGAAATACTTTAACTGAATTAAAGAAAGAAAAACATATGTGTAATTTAGAAGTTGTAACTGAGCAAATGGTATTCATGACTTTTGTTTTCTCATCACAATGTAGTTAAAGTGGAATATGTTTTCAGAGTCAGAGGCGAGTGTGGTACCTGTCTCTGGTGGTGGGATGTGGACAGTGGTGCTGCCGTAACTGCACTGGCTCATGCCCGACCCCAAGCTCAGCACTGTCGTGGACAGGATCTGTGGAGCTGCTCCTCCTGCGTCTGTGGATCGTGCATTTGTTGGCATTTCTGGCTTAGGTATGGCTGGGATTTGCAAACCAGCTGGTGATGTAAGAGAAACTGACAGTGAAAAAAAAATTCCCAACAAGAAATTTACCTAAGACCCAGTTTACAGAAGTTTGTAATTGAGAAATTAAACCTTACTGGCCATAAAGCAGTAACACGAAACCAGAATTTTATGCTTACAACAAAATAAAGATAAGACATTAAAGAGAAATAGGAAGGATGTATTTACAATTCTTTTAATTTAACTCTGAGGGGGCATTCTTGTTACCTTGTAAGGCCGGGACATCATCCGCCTTGTGGTTCTGTCTGTCTTCTTCTGAGGATGAAGAAGTTGTATTTGTACAGGAGATACACTTTCTTTTCAAAGCTGGAATGTTGTAGCTCTTCAGGTATCTGTAACAACATGATTAGGCCACATATTCTTACCTGTTCCCTAACTGTGCCATTTCCCATCTCTTTGCTTTTCTCATGCCAGTTCTGTTTAGGGTAGTTTGTACTTTCTTCTTGATAAAGTCTTCCCTGACCATCCCAGCCTCAATCACTGGATTGTAGTATTTCTTTTACTATGGTCTTGAATTAACCTTCATTTCTTACACCATGGGTGTCCAATCTTTTGGCTTCCCTGGGCCACACTGGAAGAAGAATAGTTGTCTTGGGCCACACATAAAATATACTAATACTAATGATAGCTGATGGGCTAAAAAAACCCAAAAAACAAATCTCATAATGTTTTAAGAAAGCTTATGAACTTGCGTTGGGCTGTATTCAAAGCCGTCTCGGGCCACATGCGACCTATAGGCCGCGGGTTAGACAAGCTTGTCTTACACCATTTAATTTTGAGAAAATTAGGTCTTGTCTTCTCAACTATTCCACAGATCCTTCAAAGAAGGGATGCATCTTCTAGCTTTTTGTGCTTTCCGTAATATTCAGTGTATTATGAACTGTATGTGTTAGGCACTCCATAAATATCTACTGATTTATAGTGAAAACCCAAGTCAGAGCAGCTATTAAAAATTCTGTGAAGTGTCTACAGTGACAGCATATGCTTTTGGAGAAGACTAACATGGTTTCAGAACTGTGGTCTCATACCTGATGACACTGTCAATACAGTTAATCTGTTGATAGGACGGGCTGTGCTCTTCGTTCCTCAAATCCTTGTGAGGCTCAGTGTACATGCTATTATTTTTCAATGTTTGGTGGAAGGAAGTACAGGCCTTATACTCACCTGAAACAGAATAAAGCAATGTGCAATTAAAAGTACTCAGCATGTAATTAAGAACATATACTTTCTTAGCAAAATTAAATCATGGCACTTTATCATGTATGTATCAATAGAATATTATGCAGCTATTAATAATGAGTGCAGATCTAAAATGCACTGATAGATATCCAATGTGAACAAAATAAGGTTCAAAGCATATTATACATACAATGGCTACAACTGTATTTAGAAAAATAAGGAGCGAAACAAAAGTTTCCAGCAAAGATTATCAAGGAATGAAACCATAGGTTAAAGGTTGATGAGGAACTTTCCAATGCTGAGCTGACACTGCCTGTACAACTGATCGACCCTGGCAATTACTAAGGGTGGGATTTGGGCAGACCTGTGTGTCTTACATGCTGCTGTGTGAAGTACATAGCATCTCCCAAATGGAACCTGTGCCTGACAGAACCTTCCGTGATGACCGACGGAACTATTATTTGTGCTGATTAGTATGGTAGCCACTAACGTACCTATTGAACACTTGGAATGTGGCTAGAACAACTGAGAAACTAAATTTTAATTGTATTGAATTTGAATTTAAATTGCCAAATGTGGCAAGTGGCCATCATTGTAGATAGCACAGGTACAGAGAGAAGAAAAAACCTCCAGGCTTGGTTGCAGTGAGCCGAGATTGCGCCACTGCATTCCAGCCTGGTGCCTGGTGACAGAGCGAGACTCTGTCTCAAAAAACAAAAAAAACCAAAAACCTCCAGGCTTAAGCATTAAAAACCTCCTGTAAAGGACAATGATCCCATAAAGGAGACTGAAGAAGGACAGCTAGAAAGATCACAGGAAACCCTGCAAGGTTCAGCCACCCAGCGACCAAGAATGAAAACTTTCTTAAGGAAGGAGTAACTAATTATGTCAAGTACTATTGAGAGGTTTTGTAAGGAGGTTTAGACGCTGGTCATTTTTAGCTGCCTTGGAAGAGTCTTCTCTATTTTCAGAGGATATTATGGAAAAATGACTATATTACCTTACACTCATTAACTTTTTTTTTTCTTGAGACAGAGCCTTGCTCTGTTGCCCAGACTGGAGTGCACGCAGTGGCGTGATCTCGACTCACTGCAACCTCCACCTCCTGGGTTCAACAGATTTTCCTGCCTCAGTTTCCCGAGTAGCTGGGATTATAGGTGCCCGCCACCATGCCCAGCTAGTTTTTGTATTTTTAGTAGAGACTGGGTTTCACTATGTTGGTCAGGCTGGTCTCGAACTTCTGACCTTGTGATCCGCCTGCCTCGGCCTCCCAAAGTGCAGGGATTACAGGCGTGAGCCACCGTGCCTGGCCTCATTAATTATTTTTAACTTTTAATTTTGAAATAATTTTAGACTGGAAGAGTTGCAAAAATAGTACAACAGAGTTCCTATACGCCCACCACCCAGCTTCCACTGTTACCATTGTATACAACCATAATAAAATGACCTTAACTAGGAAATGAACAGTGGAACCATTCTACTAACTGGAATCCAGGGCTTCTCTGGATTTCATTGGTTTACTACTCAATGTTGCTTTTGCCTTCAGGATCTGCTGGAGGGCACAGGTCACAACTTTAGCAGGATGCCCTTCGATTGGAGTTTCTCTGACACCTTATCATGATTAGGTCAAGGTGATGCATTTGGGGTACAGTGTCCTTCCTAGGGCCTCATCCCAGGGCACATGAAGTTAACATGTTTTGTTACCTTGATCATTGGTTAAGGTGGTATCTCTCAGGTTTGTTTGTCCTGTGTAAAGTCACTATTTTACAAGGTGATAATAATAAGTTTTGGAGGAGTGCTTTGAGATCACACAAGTATTCTGTTTCTTTTAAACTTCCACCTTCCAATGAAAGTTTAAATTCCCCATTAACCTTTCACCTATAGTTTCATTCCTTGATCATCTTTGCCTGAACCATCTGTTTTATTCTTCATTTTTTTTATTTGACATAGTATACTAACCTGTGTCTATCCATCCCTCTGTATGTTAACAAAAGGGGCATGAGTTCACACTGAAACCGTGAGCGCCAATCCAGCACCACGGAGTTCCTTCCGTTCGGTTGTGTGTGGCTTTCCTCTGATAGTGAGGAGTCTGGTTATCGTTACCTATAGCAGCCTCCATGATTTGTTCAACCCTAGTATAAACTCGCTTTAGAATTGCTAACCCATACTCTGGTGGGAAACGAATACACCAACTTGAGTACAATGTTTGTGCACATTCATAATTTTGTATTAGTCCTAGGAGATCAATTGCAGCACTGTTTTCCAAAGCTACAGAGCTCCGTTCTTCCCCATCCCTTCCATATGTTTAGGCCGATCATCTGTAATGCATTCGGATTCACTTGTCAAAGCCTGCATCTCATCCTAGGTTCTCTCTGCGTTTTGGGGTGAGATGGAGTGCACGAATCTGTGGGTTTCGGCAAATGCAAAGCAAGTTGTGCATCCATCACCACAGTAACCAAAAGAACATTTCCATGACTTAAAAATGTCCCTACAGCTGTCCCTCTGTAGTCAACTCCTCCTCCACCCAGCCATAGTAAATACTGATCCGTTTTCCAGATCCAGAGCATTCCAGAAAGAATGCTTTTCCAGAATGGAACTGTACAATATGTAACCTTTTGGTTCTGCCTTCTTTCACTTAACAAAATGTACTTAAGATTTCTGTCTACAATGCTCTGTGAATCAAGTTCTTTGTCTTCACTGTTGAGTAGCATTTCACTGTGTGGATGTATACAGCTTATCCATTCGCCTGCTGAATGACATTTGGGTTGTTTGTGTTTGACGAGTAACAGTGTAATATTCACATACAGGTTTTTGTGTGAACGTGTTTCTATTTCAGTTGGGTAAATCACTAAGAATGGAATTGCTAAGTTACATGGTAAGAGTATGTCTGACTTTATGGGGAACATCAAACCTTCCCAAATTGGCTATACAGTTTGGCATTACCTCCAGCAATAGGTGAGTGTTCCAGTCACTCTGCATGCTTGCCAACACTTGGTACTGTCAATTTTTAAAAAAATATTTAGCTATTCTCATTGATGTGTGATTGTATTTCATATGGTTTTAATTTTTTTTTTTTGTCTAATTACTTAGGTTCAGCATTTTATTGTATGCTGTTTGCTGTTTATGTATCTTCTTTAGAAAAATGTTTCTAATTGGGTTGTTTGCCTTCTTGAGTTTTGGGCATTCTTTATGTACACCGGGTATAACTTCATTATTGTATATATAATTTGCAAATATTTTTGTCTTTTGTCTTATCAGTGTCTTTCAGATGAGACTGTGCACGTTCAGGGCGGTATAGCCATGTTATCAGTGTATTTCAAAAAGGAGAAGTTTTAAATTTTGATGAAGTCCAACCTGTCCTTCCTTTCTTCTTTCTTTTGTTCAGTTTGGCTAAAGACTTACTAATTTTATTACCCTTTGATTTAACTTAGTTTCTCTTTTCAATTCCATTGATATCTGGTCTTTATTATTTCCTTCTTACTGCTTGAGATACAATTTGTTCTTCTTTCTTTTAAGGAGGAAGCTTAGATAAGTGAGTTGAGACCATCTTCTTTTTTCCGTATAAACACTCAATGCTGTAAATTTCACTTTAAGCACTGTTTTAGGTATAGCCCACATATTTTATGTTGTCTTCATTTTGTTCAGTTCAAATTGTTTTTATTCCCCCTGAAACTTCCTCTTTGACCTGTGGATTATTTAGAAGTATGAAGTTACTTAATTTCCAAACATTTGGGGATTTTCTGGATACCTGTTACTGATTTCTAGTTTCATCCATTATGGTCAGAAAATTGTACAGAGTATGGTCTCTTTTCTTTAAAAATGTTTTAAGGTTTGTAATATGGGCATACTATGATCTGTTTTGATGACCGTTGCATGAAAAACATTTATTCTGTTGTTCGGTCAAGCGTTCTATAAATGTCAAATAGGCAGACCTTGTCAATAGTGTTGTTCAGGTCTTCTATAGCATGACTAATTTTCTGACTACTACTTTTTATCAGTTACAGACAGAAATGTGCTGAAGTCTAGCCAGGCGTGGTGGCTCACACGTGTAATCCCAGCACTTTGGGAGGCTGAGGCAGGTGGATCACAGGTCAGGAGATTGAGACCATCCTGGTTAACATGGTGAAACCCCTTCTCTACTAAAAATATAAAAACTAGCTGGTGCCTGTAGTCCCAGCTACTCGAGAGGCTGAGGCAGGAGAATCACTTGAACCCAGGAGGCAGAGGTTGCAGTGAGCCAAGATTGCACCACTGCACTCCAGCCTGGCTACAGAGTGAGACTTTTGTCTCAAAAAAAAAAAAAAAAAAAAAAAAAAGAGAGAGAAAGAAAAAGAAATGTGCTGAAGTCTCCAATTATCATTGTGACTTTGTCTATTTCTCCTTACAGTTTTATAGCTTTTATTTCATGTATTCTGATGCTCTGGTATTAGATTCATAAACATGTAAGATTGTTCTATGTTCTTAGGGAATCAACTCCTTTATCTGTTATACAATCTCACTCTCTAACTCTGGTAACTTTCCTTTTTCTGAAGTCTACTTTGTATAATAATAATACAGCTTCCCGCTTTCTTTTGATTTGTGTTAGCATGGTATATCTTTTCTACTCTTTTGCTTTTAACCTGTTTATTTTCACAATGGGTTTTTGTAGAGTATGTAGCCAGATCTTTTCATCCAGTTTGACAATTTCAGTCTTGTAAATTACTGTACTGAGATTATTCATATTGAATATGAATAACTGGACTGAATATGATTCATATTCAATTTAATGATTATTGATATTGTTGAATTAAAATATACCAGTCACCAGTTGTTTTCTATTTGTTCCATTTGCTGTTTAGTTTTAACTGTATTTTTAGAGATGGGGTATGGCTATGTTGCCCAGGCTGAACTAGAACTCCTGGGCTCAAGTGATCCTCTAACCTCAGTCTTCTGAGTAGCTAGCACATGTCACCACTCCCAGCTTCAGTTCCATTTGGTTTTTGGCCACATTTTGGGTTGTGTCTTAAACTCCATTTTACCTCCTCTATTATTAATCATAATTAAAAATATTTTCAAATTATTTTCCTAAAAGCTCCAATATGTGTTCTTAAATACTTGGTGTCTACCTCCAAATAATAAAATACTGTTTCAAATGCAGTATTAGGACCTAATGATGGTATATTCCCAATGACTATCCCTCAACTTCTGTAGCAGTACTGTCACAAAGATTACTTTTATGTATGCTATAAATCCAGTTTGCTGGTTTTGCTTTAGTCTGTTACCTTTATGAGTAATTTTAAAAATTAAAAAATATAATTTCTTTTATCTTCATTTATTCAGTTTCCAGTGCATTTTACTTCTTCATGTAGATCCAAGTTTTTGGTCTGGTATCATACTCCTTCTGTCTTAAGAAATTCCTTTAGCATTTTGTATAGAATAAGTGTGCCAAAAATAAATTCCCATGATTTTTGAGAAAATCTTTATATAACCTTTATTTTCTTAAAGATCATTTTCACTAGGTATAGAATTCTGTGCTGACAGTTTTTCTGGTTGAAGATGTTACTCTATCACCTTTTTAGTGTGCATGGTTTCTGAAGAAATGGCTGTCATAATTCTTATCTTTGTTTCTGTTTTGCTTTCAAGATTTTCTTTTTTCATCAATTTGTATATGATATGCCCAAGTGTTTTGTTTTGTATTTAACTTACTTGATATTCTTTGGCTCTGTAGAAAATTACTTTTATTCAAATATTTCTTCTGAGATTCCAGTTACACCTATGTTAGATAGTTTGAGGCTATCTCCAAATTCTTAGAATACTGTTTGCTTCATTCTTCTTTCCCTATTTCTGCTTAAATAATGATTCTTCTCTAGACTGTGCTGAGTGCCATCAAATGTGTTCCTTATCTCTAGCACTGATGTTACAGATGTTACATTTCCATTTGAGTATTCTTTCATGCCCATCTGTATGCTGCAATTACCCACCTCATCCTGCATGGTGCCCAGTTTGTCCACTAGTCTTTAATGCATCATTCATAATTATTTTCAGTTCCCTGTCAGATAGTTCAAACTTCTGTGTCCTATCTAAGTCTTGTTCTGATGATGGTTTTGTCTCTTGGGAGTTTTTTTCCCTTCTTACCTATCCATATGCTACATAATTTCTTGTTGAGAACTGCATAACTTGTGTAGGACAACAGAGACTGGAGATGCCTTTCCTTGTTTTAGACCTGTGTTTGAATTAATCTAATTTTTAGGCCAGGTTTGAGTATTTTAATGGTTTTACAGTATGTACAACAGCTTTCAAATTCCTCTAGTTATACTTTTTGCCTCAGCTGGTGGCTGGTTTGGTGGATAACTTTTTTGTTTTTTCTCGTTATCTGCTCCACTTTCAGCTTCTGGTCTTTCCTTGGCATTGTGCCTGGAGAGGGTCTGTCTTCTGCAAATTACTTAACTCAGGCCATCAGTGTGAGGGAATGTATTCTCTTCCCGGAATCAAAAGGGGGTTTGGATTCAAAGGCAAGAACTTCCCAGTGCCATACCTCCACCCATGTCTCCATCTGGGAGCTTAGAGGTCTTTGTTTAATTTTCCCGTGGGAAGATGGACTGCCCAGGTAAGCTTCCTTTGTCTAGAACCCACGAGAAGCTATGGGAGGACTCTGGGCCAAACAACAAATCAAAGGTCAGAATCTAGCAGAAGTTTAAAGGAACTCCTTTCATAGGACAGAAAACTTGAATAGGGTGGGAATAACTCCCAGGTTAAAAGTCTCCTTCTCTCTCATCTGGGAGGACTCCATCTCCGGATCCCCTTCCACGACATTGTGGGATCTGCTTTTCTTTCTCCTTTCTCTCTGCCTAAATAAATCACTTTCTGCAAAACTCTTTGGGGTCTGATATTTACTTAAAATGAGCTCACCATGTCCGGCGGGGTCCTCTCTCCCTTTCTTGGGTGAGTGAGGGACCAAGGGCCTGGAGGAACACATCCTATCAGGAAGCTGAGCCTCCCCGGTGCCCCGCAACCCAGTCTCAAGTGCACGGTAATCCAGTGCTGCATCTTGCTCCTCCCTGCAAATATGTTTCTCTCCTTAGATTTTGGGCCTGCTGGCTGCTCTGTAACCTCAGCACTCTTGAGGTCAAGAAAGGTCTTGAACTTGCCTTTCATCCAGATTTTTCTGTTGTAGGTTGGGGTGTTGCTATTTCTGGCTCTCTACATCCTGGAGCAGAATCTGGAAGTAATCTTGCTCTGAATCTATTCAACTTATGGGTCATCTTCTCTCACTCAGGCATACCACGACCCTACATGTGGACACTCGCTTTTCCTGGATTTCCTCAATGACGTCTCTTGTAGTTGGCCTCTGTACACATAGCTCAAAGGGCTTTACATATCCCTGTTTTTCCTTGCCCTCCCATATTAACTTAAAATCTCCCTTCTTATTCTACTTTCAAACATTATTTGCTCTTATATTGTAAGAAAGGTAAATATATAAATTTTAAACCTTAAGTTCCTATAAAGCATGTAAACAATGATCATGCTTAACTAAGCATTTTCCTTTTCATTGGTATATATCTCTGGTCAATTTCTAACATTTAAATTATAACATTTTTAAGTTGTATCCTCATGTCTCTTAAGAAAAGAGTACTAAAGGTTTCTGCAGCTCTTTAAACTTATAGGTCTCAAAATGTTAATAAAATAAAGATATCCCAGAAACATTGGTTCTCCAAAGCTATACCAAATGGCAAGATATCTTCCTTCTTCCCCAGAGTCACATCCTGTGTGTGCTATTAGAGCCAAATATAAGCATCTGTCTAAGGAGTGGGAACACTTGTTTCTAAAGTAGCTGTGTAAGCACAGAGCTACGTGCAGCTTAAATTTTTATACAAAGTCAGTGATGGAATATTGCCATCTACTTAAAGATACAGCCTTCAAAAAAAATAGCACCAATGGCATTACAAGATCTGTGGTAGATGATGAGAAACTGAATAATGTGGGAAGTGAGAATGGAAGCCATTCTGAGATAAGGACCAAGGTCAGTATGTAAAACTGTGATGCCACCATGAGATCTAAGGCCCAGGCAGCTGTGAGTAGGACTGGCAGGACCAGACAATGAGAAAAACATTTACACATTTTAGCTTTAAAACCTCCTAAAAGAGTTCTCTCTGCTAGGACCCATTATTCCATATAATGACCTATAGTAAAAACTGTTATTTAAGATAAATTATTTTGCAGAGGGGGAATGTGGGGGTTTTGAGGGACAAGAATACAAAAAGCAGCTGTTATTCTTATCTTGTGCCCTTACATGTAACAGCAGAGGAAACCAATAGAATGCTTAACCTTCTATCAGAGAAAAGAAAAAAATGAAAGAGCAGGATTTGCTCTATTTGTGGAGTCCTGTGGGCTTTACTGTGGTTTGAATGTGTGTATCTCTCCAGCATGCCTGTGTTGGAACTTAAAACCCAATGTGACAGTGTTAACAGGCATGGCCTTACAAAGTGACAAAGTCATGAGGGCTCTGTTCTTATGAATGGGATCTGTAACCTTTCAAAAGGGCTGGAAGGAACTAGCTAAGTCTCTTTTTGCCTTTCTGTCCCTTGTGCCATGTGAGGACACAGCGCTTGTCCCCTCCCAAGGAAGTGATGTTCAAGGTGCCATCTGAGAAGCAGAGACTGGCCCTCACTAGATGCTGAACCTGGTGGTGCTCTGATCTTGGACTTCCCAGCCACCCAATCTGTGAGAAATAGGTTTCTGTTCTTTATCCATTATCTAGTCTCAGGTATTTTATTACAGCAGTACAAACTAAGAAGGTTCCCAGCGATGCCACCTGTGGGAGCTGCAGTTTGATTTTTTGTGGTGTAAATCATGTCAAGTTCCGAAAAATACAGCTGTTATCATTACTGATCTTACAAATTTCACCCCTACTGTGTAAAATGTCTACATTTGACAATGATAGAGATTAATAACATTTAGTGACCAAGATCCATCACAACTTCCAAATTATATTAACGTTCAGGAAGAAAAATGAAGGGAAAGTGAGCTACATTTAAATGTCAATCTAACTTGATTTCTATACTATTGAACTTCCCTATGCCATACAATGCAACTAGGTTAACTTTTCAAAATGATGCCAATTTTACTACTGATCCAGTACTTTTGGAGGGCTCCTTACTTCGTATCTGAGTAAAGTAAATATATGTCAAGAAAAGAGCCAAAGTTTTTCACTGAATTTAGGTCACAAAGATTTTCTGTTTAAAATGACAGAAAAGGGATTATTACTTTAATATACTTCATTATTTAAAATGCATTCTAAAATCCACTCTGTTTAAAAGAGATGCCTATGTAGGGAGGAAAATCTATAACTTGTTGGTATTTTCAGAAAAGTTAATTTTTCAGTAAAAGTGAACGGCAACTATTAATACAAGTGCATTCTAATACCATTTACTTTCAGATAGTACTTGCTGCTGCCTTTATCATCACTACCATTACTACTGCTACCTAGGCAAATCAAGAAATATGAAAAGCAGCAACACAGGGTCATGGCTTTCTGCTCATGAATCACATACATGATGTTTACACAGAGAATAACAGCCCACGGAAGGAGATCCTTGGGGCTGCCTGGCTGACTCACCACCACCATTCAGTTCTGTGCACGTCCCTGTCACTGGCTTGATTGATGATTTGGTCCTTGACTCAATGTAGAGCTGCTGACCCCGATTCTTAATTTTGTTGACACTGGCATAGACCTGCTGCAAGGTCATCTTAGGGAAAGGAATGATAAAATAAGTTTAAAAAATTATAAAAATGTCCACTAAAAGATAAGTTAAGCAAAATACACTTAGCTTCTGTTTCTCTGAAGACATAATGACTAAAGCACATTAACTGCTTTAATTCAGTTTCCTGCACCACGCCACAGTATATTGGTACCAACAAATTCTAAATAAATCTGTTCACAATATGCTAATTTTTAGAATGCTACAATTAATGCAAATATCACTTTCTGAAGGTGGTATTTTCTTTTTACAGACTTTTTTTTTTGAGATGGAGTCTCGCTCTGTCATGCAGGCTGAAGTGCAGTGGCGCGATCTCGGCTCACTGCAACCTCTGCCTCCCAGGTTCAAGCAATTCTTCTGCCTCAGTATCCTGAGTAGCTGGGATTACAGGCACATGCCACCATGCCCGGCTAATTTTTGTATTTTTAGTAGAGGGGGGTTTCTCCATGTTGGTCAGGCTGGTCTCAAATTCCTGACCTCCTGATTCGACCACCTCAGCCTCCCGAAGTGCTGGGATTACAGGCATGAGCCACTGTGCCCGGCCTACAGACATTTTTTTCTAAACCAAAGTGGATTAAAATATCTGTTATCAGATGAGGTCTTTAAGTCAGGAACATGTACTAAGATGTCACCATATGCAGAACCGCAGTAACACAGAGAACGCGACGCCTGTGCAAGAAGGTGACATGAGCCCACGCACCTGCTCCGCCTTTGTCTCCTCCATGCATTGCCCACTGGCCTCACTGGAGGAGGCCATGCTGACAAGCTGCTCCTGTGACCCGGTGCTTCCCAGGCTCCCATAGCCACTGGACACACTCATGTGAACTGGCTGGAAGGACAAAGAGGAGCAGTTCCAGAATTGCTGGGTGCCTAAATGCAGCCACCTCAGAGCTCATCTAGAATCATCTAAAAATTAAGATGACAATTTCTGAAATCTCAAATTAGGTTGTGCAGGTTGGTCCTGATACACGAAAGGGACCCCTCCATTATTTCAGTAATTCTCAAAGGCACGGTCCTATGTTCTAGTCTAGGTAGGTAGGACAACCTAGGACCAGACAATGGAGTGGGAACGTTTGTTTCTAAAGCAACTGTGTAAGCACAGAGCTATTGTAAAAAAAAAAAAAAACAAAAAAAACCCATAGTGTAATTAATTTTTAAAAACATGAAAATAAAGTCTAGTTCTTTATGCCCAGTTTAGAACAGAGAGAGCAAACCATATATTATACTTTTTCCAAGAACATGGCAGGTGTTTCATGCATCCTAGAGATTTTATGGGCGACATTCTGAAAACTCTGTATGACACCATTAGTTTATATACCACTTACTGAATCTCTTGTAGAAAACACCTTTGGCATTTCTTTTCAACACATAAATTTTTCCACTTTTACGTAACAATAGTTAAGAGAAACTGAGACCTATCATCCCTCTCCTTCCATCTTTAAAATTGAAATTATTTAAAAAATCCTGAAGCCAAAACCCAAAGGCTGAGCATACTAGTGCCTCTGGAATGTAAGAATTCTCTGTCACTTGGTTTGCTGTCTTACAATGGGTTCTTACAAAAATATTCTGTGTAACACAGAGTAAGGAAAAAGAATAAAATGTAATTTAAAAATGAAAAGAGAAAGACAAAAATTTCTGGAATGCAGAGGGCAAAGATTTGTCTCCCTTTATAATTTATTTTTGTGAAGTGTGATTTTACTGAGCATTAAAACAAAACACAATTCAGAGAATTTTGCATTCTTAAAAATCTCACCTTACCTGTAAGAGAAGTTTGTAAATTTGTTCTTGTAATTCTGTTATGTCTTTGTCATTATTGTTCATCTTTTTAATTTTGGTAGCAAAAACATCCTCATTTAGTGGGCTCCTAGAAAATGTCCAGTGAGAGATTGAGCCAAACAATTTTTTGAAAGTAATTTTTAATAGGCTATTCCAAGAATAGACCTATGCTTTTACAAAACAATTCTTTGACTCCAAAGAGAAAATAGGAGGCTAGAATTCTATTCATGGAAGTTCAGAAAATACTAAGAAACAAATGAGACATTAACAGGCCAGTAAAGTTTCTCTAAAGCAATCATCTTTCTGTAATGGTTTCAGTGCTATATATGTACAAATCTAAACTTAGTGACAAGTAACCTCCTTCGCTACTGAAATATCTTCAGCAAATAACTGGTTTCAAAATTCGACAGTAACTGAGTAATTGACTGTAAGAATTTTAAAGACCCGTTTGCCAAACGGCATTTAACGTTTAATGCGCCTAACACTTTTGCTATCTAATTAAAACGGTTCTGCAACCCACCCTATTGGTGAAAATGCAGCTGTTACAATACTTTCCGTCTTATTTATACTCAAATTCTAGAGCATCTTCAATGTGACCTGAATACAGTGAATGGCACACATGCCAACAGAGGATCACAAAGAAGGGAATAAACTGACGTTTACTTGGAACCTTCTATGTGACAGGCACTGTACTAGTTTTTTTTTGAGAAAAACTCCAGCCCCGGCTGGAGTGTAATGGTGCAATCTTAGCTCACCGCAACCTCCGCCTCCTGGGTTCAAGCGATTCTCCTGCCTCAGCCTCCTGTGTAGCTGGGATTACAGGGGCACGCCATCATGCCTGGCTAATTTTTTGTATTTTTAGTAGAGACAGAATTTTACCATGTTGGCCAGGCTAGTCTCAAACTCCTGACCTTGTGATCCGCCCGCCTTGGCCTCCCAAAGTGCTTTGATTACAGGTGTGAGCCACCACGCCTGGCCCTTTTCTGTTTGTTTTTGAGGTGTCTCATTTTATTACCCTGGCTGGAGTGCAGTGGCATAATCTTGGCTCACTGCAACCTCTGCCTCCCAGATTCAAGTGATCCTCCTGCGTAGCTGGGCTTACTAGCGCACATCACCACACCCAGCTAATTTTTGTATTTTTAGTAGAGATGGGGTTTTGTCATGTTGGTCAGGTTGGTCTCGAACTCCTGACCTCAAGTGATCCACTCACCTTGGCCTCTCAAAGGACTAAGATTACAGGAGTGCACCACTGCAGCCGGCTTATACTAGTTTTTATAACATACAAGAATACCTAACATTTTGAAAACCCTCATTATTCCAAGTGCTTTACAAGTATTTTCTCCTTTACCTGATTAAAGACCTTTTCCAGGTGGCCTAGCAGGTAAGGGGGAGGCAGGTTTTCACAAAGGGACCAGAGTCTAGGCTAGAGTCCACACTGTGTGCCACCACACTGTCCTGCCTGTGGGTACACTGGTAAAGCAGGTCACATTCGTGAGGCATACTGAATCAGCTGCATCAGCTCACGGAGTCCTCACAACAACCCCAGAAAGTAGGAATTATCCCTGATACGCAAAGTCAGGGTATGAGACAGTCTGAGGAACTGGCCCAAGTTCACATAACCAAGAAGCAGCAGTTAGGATTTGAATCCGCCTAGGTCTGACCCCCAACCCGTGCTGTCCTTTTTCCATTATGCCAGCCTGCCGTGTCTCACAAGTAACTGATACATGCAGCTCAGTTACCTAAAAACTGAAAGTTTCCCGAAGGCATAAATTATTATCAAGAAAATCACAGGATGCTGACAGTGTCGTAAAAGCAGGAATAATATCTCCGTGTGTAGGGAATATTCAATCACCCTGCACATCCCCGCATCACAGTGGAACAGCTGCACCAATCACCTTTCTTTCCCTTCGCATCTAGACTATATCCAGATCAATATCTATCTGCATGGTGTCAGGTATACCATAAGTCTGTGGCAAGCAGTACCTGAATATACAACTTTATTTCACAACCTGACACACTATACGTTTTATGTAACCGTCTCTCCCTATATCCCACTGCTGGGTAAACTCCACGAGGTGAAGTACTTTGTTTCATTTTTCCACTCCTGGATCTTCAGTGCCTGGAACGGTGTCTGGTCCATATCAGGCACCCACTGCATATTTGTTAAAGGAACAAATACATGATTGATTGATCTGGGAATAAAAGTACACCTGGTTCCTAATATAAACACATCCTGTACATTTATTGTGAGCTTGAAAACCTTTCAGAGGTATTTGGAATTTGTTTCTTGAGTAAAATGGAAATAGAATAGATTGCTTTATACTATGAGATTTAGATATTCCTAGTTGTGAAAATTTCTGCAAAACTCTGTGTGTGTGTGTGTGTGTGTGTGTGTGTGTGTGTGTGTGT